TATACACTGTTTGTTTTCCCCCAACCCCTCAATCCAGTTGAAAGTAAATTTTTTTTTAACATCTGATGCTATTTTACAGCTTCCCATACTTTCAGCAAATACAACACACCTGCACTTCATTGACCCCTTCCCAAAAGCAGACAAAAAAAAAAAACTAACTTTCTAAATTTGTTCTTTTTTCCCCCCTCTGAGAAGTTGTGTGTCCCTCCCGTTTTTTTTAAATAAAGAAATATTTTTGTCAGATCTTACTGACAGTTGTGCATGTTAAATGTTCTGTAGTTTTGATATTCCCTTTAACCTCAATAATGGGGACACTGCCAATATATTGCGCAGTTTATTTCCTGGCAAACTATTGCTATTTCTCACGAAGGGCATTGCTGCACACAATAAAGTTTGCAGTATATTATTTGTCACCTCATTATTTGAATTCAAAACAAGAAAATATTATAAATTCCTGGTAATTCTAATGCATAGTTAGCCGAACTCTAGGATATCAATTTAAAAAAAAAAAAGACCAAAAATGAAGAGAGGTATGTAAGTGCAAGCAGCCTCAATAACTATTTTTTTCTTCATCAATGTATGATTGTTGACCACACATGTATATTCATCTTTTGTATCCAAGGCTGGACACCGGTGTATTCTTCTGTTGACATATTTAAAATTAGTATCTTAATCATGGTAGTTTCTCTGATTACTAAGTAATTAATTTTTTTTCAGTTTGTGTTCTTGGATAACAGTCAGTTTGCAGCTTTTCTGATGTTGTATGTTGTTTTGCACTTTTTGTATTCTTTGATTGCAACACATCTTGTTATTGACTTTCTTTCTCTTAGCAGTGTGTTCGGTGTCAACAGATTACTGCGGATATTCTGTGTGACTATTTTTATTCCCCGTAATAAAGTTTACAGTTTAACCTGTAATCAGATTAAAGTTGTTGTGCAGTAAACCACATTTTGACATTCTCAGTAAATAGGTTTGCATGGCCAGTTGATATCTACATGTTTAGGCACATTTGTCAGCACGTAAAAATAATTTCAGTATGTGTACACACACACAGGCACATGCACAGTGCGAATGTAGACACACTGTGAATGTGTGTACACATCACAGATGTATACATACACCACAAATGTACACACACTAGAAATGTACACACACACATGCACACTCATATGCATGTGTCAACACACACTTTTCTGTTGATATTATTTCCTTATCTTCTTATAGTCCATGCAATATATCATTGGTAAACTTCCCTTGTGGATTCTGGAGCCTTATATTGGGGCAAAAAGAATAGATCCACTGCCTCCTCTCCCCTTGTCCACCTTTCCCATCCTAAAAAGCTTGAAATAGGCAAAGAATAGTAACCAAAGATGCATGACATAAGAGACAACTAAGGAGGTTTGCGACTGATTATCTTACCCACAGTCAGATCTGGCTAACTCCAGCCAGTCATTACCATGATTTACAAATGTTCTAATCTGAATTGGTTGAGGAATTATTCTGCATTGGCGGGTGAAAGCAGCAAGAATACATAATTCAGTCTGTTTTCACTTTGTACTTATCTGGGGTTAGTAGATGCGACTTTTAAAATTGAATTATGAAATGTTTTAATAACTTTTTTGTATTTACTAAACTTTAGATGGTTCCATTAAAAAAAAAAAAATGTTAGAAGATAGTTATGTAGGAAATTAAGTACAAGCAAGATGTTAGGTTAAAAGACAGACATACAGAAGCAGAATTTTAGAAAAGAGATTTACTCTTGCTGTTGTTCCTGACACAATAGTTAGGAACATGCAAAATATTAGGGATACAGCAATCACTGAAAGATGTTTGGTGCAAGAAACAAACTAAAATTACTGAAGCATTTCAAAGAGTACAGGAAGAACATTCTAAGGAACATACTAACAGCAGTTAAGTTTACTCCTGGGCCAAAAATTGAAAATGGGGATCATTACATACCAGAGGCCCAAGCCCCATTGCTGAAAGATAATTCATTCAGTACGGCTTGCCACTTGCTAGGCCGGCGGGCTGCTAGTTGAATAGCCTTGTTCTACAACATACTACCATAGGAAATAACAATTGCTTGATGAGATAGCAAGACTCCTACCAATCTCCCTATGTCACGGTTTATGACATACCTGGTAGGTTACAGTTGCTACCATGGTTTGCTTCCCTTATGCACCGCTGTAGCACAGAGTCAGATTAATATTTTCAGATTCCCATTGAAGCAATGATTTTTTTTTAGTAATTTAGAAGTCCGAGTCAACCCAGACTGAAATGGATACAAGGAAATGTCCTCAGAAGTAAAGGTGGCTTGCATGATATTGACCACATCAGCCGGAAGATGGTGCTGAGTCTAAAAATATGTAGCTAGCCTTATGGTAGTCCTTCACTAATTTTTAAGTTATGGTATGATGTATGGTATATCTGGTCACAACACTAAGTTAGTATACCATGGTTGTTTTCCAGCTCGATGATGATGACACTGAACACCCACCAGGACATCACACCGAGCAATAAACAACCCAGTAATACAAAGTGCCACCATTTAGATGAGGATGTCCCAGGGACAGGGTCCCAAAATCCCTGTTCAACCCATAGGTTTGGTTATAATTGGGCCCCCAGCAACAGCCAAGATATGGTTTTGAAACAACAAAAAATTGTGTCCCACACTGGGATGCATTTACCAGCTCTACTTTAACAATTTAAAAAAAGACAGTACCACTGTATAAATGCTATTGGAGATCAATGAATACATACATCATCAGAATAATACAGTACTAAAATACGCAGACCGGCATACACATTCTCTAAATGTTTGAAGCATGGATGGACAAGAAGAAAAAATGGCAAAAGAGCCAAACACAAAACAATCACCTTTAGTATTATAAATTAGAATAAGCTCAGTGATATCCATATTAACACACAGGCTGCTCACAGATACAGTGGATACCATACTCTTGAAACTACTTTTGCATTTAATTGAAAATGGATATTTGAAGTGGATTTATATGTTTTTATGAAATTTATTGTCTGTGTTTGCATGGAAGTAAACTAAAGTCTTTCACTTGCATGTGGCAGTTATTACATTTCTAAATATTGTAACAATGATTCCTTAAGATGTCTATATTAGACTACAAGGCACAGGATAATGATTATCATCAAGTACCTTGTCAGCTGGCATAGGCTGTGCATCTCCACAGATCTCGGTCTTTGGTGTTCTCAATCAGTGATATTCCTCCATGCCACTGTCTTAAGCTATCCATCATCATTGCTCTTCATCTGCCTCTGCCTCTTCTACCAATGGTCTTTCCAGTTGTCACAATATTTTCCAATGCTCCTGTTCTCATCACATGACCAGAGAACTTTGATAATATTTGTAAATAAATTAATCTGTTCAGGTAACAGTCTCTTTGTTTTGTTGCTTATCTTCTGTTTTGTAGTGTAGAAGAAAGTAGTTGCAATCTGTGACTATAGCATTGTGAACGTACTTTGTAATTCTGAGCTGCCCGGTTCCATTCAATCTGTGGGCGATTTGGTAGCAGATCACCTTGCGTTGGTGTTGACAGTGCAATCGAGAGCTGACCATTCAAAAGCATTGACAAACTATTGAACCTGTCACTTCCTAATGAAATCACAAACAGTGAAAAAATGCTAGGATTAGTTCTGCAACACCATGTAACGTATACACAACACATTTTTTTGTGTGTGAAGAAAATTAGTTCTTGCATATTTGTTAGTTGGATTAAATATTGTACATGGTTTTTTGGTTTGTGCAACCGGTTCCATAGGTTACGAACAGATTGTACTCCCAACATCTCCTTGTGACAAATAGTTGTTACATCATACTGTTTTACTGATAGCATTTCCCTTTCATTATTGTTATATTATAGTAAAAAGGCAACCATGTCATCATTTTGCACAAGGTATTGACACAGCATTTCAAATGTTAGTTAGAAGCTATTGCCATTAAAACCAGTTTCATTGAGTTAAAAACGTATACAAACAGTATAATTAAAATATTATTAGTTCAGCATTCTTTATTTTGACTGTCTGTTTAAAACTAAACTTCTCCTTGGAAAAATTCATTCATTGTCAGTATCAGTAACACCATCTATCTATCCCTCTTGTCACAATGTTTTCAGATCTGACTTTTTTTGTTCACCTAATTACTTCTCTAATTTTTTTAATTGTGCTCTTCAGTTATGAATACATCAATTCTATTAACTATCTAAACTGTTTTCAGTTTTTCCCTGTTTTACACAGCATTTTTGTGATCACCCATTACAATAATTTGATCGTAATTTGTTAATAACACAAGTCCCTAACATCTTACAACTCACCTTGTTTATAATTAAAAACTTTCCTTTTGCAGTTTCTAACACAGCTTGTAGTATAGTATATAATTGTCTGAAATATTACAATTTCAAGAATTTTTACTTTCATTCCTTTTGATCAAAATTTAATCTGTAACCTTACAGTATCTAACAGTGAGAATACTTCACAGTGAGTTACATTCCAATGCTTTCAGAGGCAGTCTTTCTGTTTTTATTGAAGGCGTGCAATAGTTTTATTGCCACAGTACATAAACCAGATTTTCTTGCACATTCATTTAATATCAGTAGGGAAGAAGTAGGTACCAGGGGGCTTCAAATGATGAATTTAGCCATTGAATTTCTGTTATAACATTACCGTGTTCATCTGCACCATGATGTCACATGCCAATCACTATTGACATCCTTAACAACACTATCGACAGGGTTACAAAACAGTGGCCTGGTTGAGTTACAAGACAGTGGCCTGGCTGGGTTACAAGACAGTGGCCTGGTTGTTGTAATTTCTATCACACATTTAAGGTTTTCATTTGAAGCTCTTTTGTAATTCAGTACTTGGCTAATAACATGTCACTTATTTACTTAGTTACATTGACTAGCAGTCTTTGTAAATATTAGCATTTGTGTTTTTGTTTCATCTGTAACATTTCTATGCTTTTGTTGCAGCGCCCTGCCAAGGATACAGTGGGCATTTTGGAGCCTGACAGCATTTTCTACAGCTTGGGTCAGTCTGGCCTCATCTCATTCTCAGACTACATCTTTTTGCTGACATTACTGTCCAGTAAGTAGCCAAGTCATTTATAACACTGTTACATTTGAAAAGGGGGAGGGGGATCTTTTAACGTGATTGGTGCAATTAGTATCAATACTGACATCTTCAGAGTTCTGAACATCAAGGAAGATTAGCTAGTAAACAGCATCTTGTCTTAGAAACTGAAATATTTTGGCCATATCAGGCACCACAGCGGATTGGAAAAACTAATGGCAGAAGGCATGGTAGAGGGAAAGAGAATCAGGAGCTGACCAGGATGAAGATGGGCACAATATATAACTGACACCTTGGGTAGGAAAGTGCATGAGGCCGAAGTGCTGCTGAGAGGCTGAGTTTCTTTCAAGCAGACGGTGATGACAGATGTTCTGCAAAGGACATGCTACATATAGAGGGTACATCGTGCAGATAGTGCTAGTAACATATTTTATAAACCAGTTAGTGCTGGGTGGGTGGTGTCTATATCACTGTACCCAGGAAGGCTGACGGGCATCAATTGTTTGAAGAAGCCAGATGTATCAGCCAAAAATTTCAAATGTAACAGTGCCCAGGAAAGGTAACCCGGGCACAAAAGTTAGATATATCTGCTTAAAGATGTAAATCTTGCAACCATACTCTAAATGGGCACAATGCAGTTATGTCCTCAAATGAAAGCAAAAGAAGAAGAAAAAGAATATCACACTGCTGCCTTTGCTATCCCTAACAGTTCCTTGGCACCTATTCCAAACAGCATCAACCTGAGAGCCCATTTTTTTTTTAAAGCCACGTCTTAATACGTGACCACAGGGCTAGTAGGCAAACATGGTAGCCTCTGAGCTGCTAGGGTTCCTAGGAGTTATTTAAGCATCAGGGTAGTCCTGTAACAGATACTGCTATGCTAGCCACTGAGCTGCCAGGGTTCCTAGAAATTATTTAAGCATCAGGGTAGTCCCATAACATGCCACATGGCCCTATAAGTCTGTGGTGCATGTTTTCCACTGTTCCATACAGCTTGGTTTTCATTGTAATGCCAACTGGCCAAACTTGGAATCTTTCTACTGCATGTAGAGAGTATGTAGGTAGCACATGTTCAATATTCCACACGGGCAAAGTTATGAATCCCCAATTTTGAATTTCTTGTACATAGAGTTGCATAGTCTAATATGTACAGTTAGTTAGTTATGTATCCTTTACAAGACGTTGCAGAACCAACCCTAGCGTTTTTTGCCTGTTGTGGTTTTTCTAGGGAAGTTTACATCCATAGTTTGCCATTGCTTTCTGGATGGTCGGCCTCTTGATACCACAGTCGAAACCAACACAAGGCCCAAGTCCTGCAGCTGGGATAGAACATGGCACCCCGACATTACTAAGGGCGTTCTCAACGCCTGAGACCCAAACACTGATCTGTACATAATCTAAACAATGATCTGTTTCTTTCATGTGGGGCCATTGAATTGGTTTCCAGGATTGTGTCCTAGATGAGTTCTAATGGCTGCCATGATTTGAGTTTTATTTTCCTCACCTGTTCTGAGCTATAGTAAATATGGTGGCTTGGTCACTTTCCTTCCTCATTGCCTTTCCCTCCCAGACAATTCCCATGACAATCTGGAGGTTTTCTTCTTTCCTGGTTGCCCTTAAAAGGGCAACATGTGTAATGGTTTACAGCTATGCTGCAACATCCACACCTTTCATTCCAGCACATCCACTTTCAGCAAAAGTCTTAATTATTCACCTTGTACGACATGCTTGGTAGGGGGTCGTGAATCTGTACCCCCTCCAATGGGGCCCTTACACAAGAAAACTCAAGGAATTATCTTTTATTATTTTCCCGAGGCAGGGTCAATGCCCAGAGCTATACAGGCCGTATAAACAAATCCTGCCACTTTTGGGGACTGTGCCCACTGTCTTGACAAACAGGCATACTGACCACTGTGCCAGAGTGGTTCCAAGAGCTATTTATTATAACAGATTCAAAAATAATTGCTTGCTACTCATTGTCACAACTTGATAAATATATACTTTCAGTAATGTGGACATAAACGGTACATTACACAATTTATTGCTTGGCACATTTTACTGAATATCATCAGATACATTACTGCACAGTTACATCAGCATAAAGTGAAACACAACATGTGGTTACTACTGAAGTTTGAGATTTACAACATGCTCTTTTTGTTTGCACACTGTGAGATTGTTGCCAGGCAAAAAAGTTAATTATATCATGTATTGTTTGCATTCAAAATATTTAAACAAGATGAGAAAATATTGTTTTGAATTTCTGAAATATGTAGTTACTTTATACAACAATGTCAACTTCATTTTCCTTTCATTTTCAGCACCACCAAGAAATTTTGAAATTGGCTTCCGCATGTTTGATTTCAATGGTGATGGAGAGGTTGACTTTGAAGAGTTCAGCAAGGTAAATAAAATAATGTATTAACAGTGGAGCTGACTGTGAGGTGTACTGATGTAGGTTCTTTTGTGTGACCGCAAACTTATGTATCCAAAAAGTGAGGTTGATTTAGCCTTGTTAAGTGGGGGTTGATTCAGGCTTGTCAAGTAGTCATCAGAGACTTCTCTGGTAAGACATGAGGAAGGTCCAGTCATCCTGCCTTGAAATCCAAAACCTCCCCATGTGGGTTCTGGGGCCCCATTGTGGGAAAACAGGAATAGACCCACTGCCTCCTCAAGAAGCATGTCATAAGAGTCCACTAATTGGGGGGTTTCCTTCGAAGTCGGAGTGTATCTGCCTGAGAAGCAAGGAACCAACAGTATGCATACAGATAAGTCAGATCTGTAAAATGGAGGTGCACGCAACACTTTGGTTCTGGAACAAGTCTAAAGTCTAGGGATGGATGAACAACCAGAACTTTCCATTAGAGTTTGCAGCTGGTGAATGCAAAGAAGAAGAAGAATCCAATACCTATAACACACTCCTGAAATGTCTAGTTGAAAAAAAATGTAAAAGATCTTTAAATGCTAGTTGCAGATTGAGCATTGCTAATAGACATTGTTTTTAGAATTGACCCTCAGTGGTGGGTGATGTTATCAGTAGCATGCCTGGTATCCATTTTAAGCTGCGAGCCAAGTCATTTAAAACAAATGCTTTGTGGATTTAAACCCAGAACGTTTAGGCCAGCAGGTGAGCATCTAGCCACTACACTACCACAGCTCCCATGTCTGCAGTAGGATTAGCTACAATAGGTATGTTAGTCTGTCCACAATTTTTGGCTTTTGAATGTTTACTATGGTACAGAATATACACACAAGGTAGCCTTTACCCACTTACCTGGAATATTACCTTGCAGTTTTTTTATCTAGTTTTTTTAAAAAATATGTACAAGTTTGCTTCTTGATATCAATTTGATGTGTCTGTGGCTTAGGCGTTGTGAACGCTCTTCGTAATGTCGGGGTGTCGGGTTCGATTCCTGCTGCGGAGGGTTTGTCTTGCGATGGTTTCGACCGCGGTACGGAGAGCCGACCGTCCAGAAGCAATGGCAAACTACTGGACTTAAATTTGCCTAGAAAAACCACAACAGCCAATAAGTGCTGGGGTTGGTTCTGCAACTTCCTGTAAAAGGATACACAATAAGTAATTGATGCTACACAAACCCTCTTGTCATTTTTTGGATGACAAGTTAGTAAGAACAGATCCTAGATAACCTGTTTAACCTTGTACAATTTTATAACTAGAAAACCCAGTATTGATTTACTTTATAGTGTATGCAGCACTCAAATCCAGGAATGCCAGAGTTTATTCGATGCAATGGAGAAGGCATAAAAACATCAAGTTCGGTTAGTTCTTTGAAGAATTAAGGCATCTAGGAATGTTTATGCTCCTAAGAATTTAGACAACTTCTCTGAATGCACCTGCTGTATCTCTTTGTTAATGGTTCTGTTCTACAAGATTAACTAATATCCAACCAACTGCATACATAAGAAACATAATTTTTCTCTTCATCAGGTTCAGGAAATTATTCGGAACCAAACCTCCGTGGGCATGAAGCACCGCAACCATTCAACCACTGGCAGTGTAGATCATGGGATGAGTTCTGCTTTGTCTTCTTATTTCTTTGGTGCTGATGGTTCCAAGAAGCTGACTGTCCAAGAGTTTTTGGAGTTCCAGAAACAGCTGCAGCGAGAGATCAATAAGATTGAGGTAGTGTGTTTTTGTCGGCCTGTGTAGTTTAAGCGTTGCAAATGCACTTCGTAATGCCTGGGTGGCGGGTTTTGTTCCAGCGGCAGGCAGTTTGACAGCAGACCATCTTGCAGTGGTTTCAACAATGGTACTGAGAGCTGACCATTCAGAAAACAATGGCAAACTACTGAGCATAAAATTTACCTTAGAAAAACAGGCAACAAAAGCTGGGTGGGGTGACCATTTTTTTTCTTTATTGCATTTGTGATCTGATGATTCCAAGATAATTAATTTTGTTTAAAACATCATATATGATTCTAGAATCATATTTTTTTTTATTGACCCATCAGTACTTACTGGCCACCTTGACTTCTCAGCACGTTCCCCAGGACCCATTGGATTGATGTTAGAGCAAAGGTCATTAAAAAAATAACATTTGCCTTGATTCAGATTTAACCCATTGATCTTTGGATAGGCAGGCAAGCATCTGGCCGCAGTGCTACCGACCACTGCTTCTCAGAGATGCAAAGTCAAGGACCTTTTTCCCCACGCCTTCAGCTGTATTGGGCAGATAGTACTAAACCTATATTTTATAGACCAGTCAGGACTCAATGCGTATTGTGATCAGCAGCCTGCCGACCACCTTTACTTAACAGGAGTTTACCTCATACCCATGTAAGGCTGGGATGACCTCGGAGTCAAGCCCCCCCCCCCCCCCCCCCCCCCCCCCCAGGAGAGCCATTTTGGTCAGAAAAAAATAATCCTGCTGTTGCTGAGGATTGAATCCGGTCACCTCGCCATCGTGAAATAGAGTGCACTGACCACAGTACTACTGTGGTTATTGGAGTACGGTATAAAAACTAGTCCAGCTTTTGCTTATTATCTTCTTCGTCTTCGTCTTCTGCATTCACTGGATGTAAACTGTCATGGAAAGTTTTGGTTGTTTGTCCAGTTTTGGACTTAGGTCTTGTTCTGGAAGTTGAGTTTTGCATGCACATTGGTTTTACTGATCTGGTTTATCTGTGCAGACTGTTGATTTCTCACATCTGAGGCAGATGCACTCTGACATTGAAAGAAACACTCCTAATTAATAGACTTTTAGGACATGCTTGCTAGAGAAGCATTGAGTGTATTCTTATTTTCCCTAAAATGGGGCCCCAGAACCCCTACAGGGAGCTCATCTGCTGTCATCAATGGCTTCATGTATTGGCTCTGCATTTAGGAAAGCCTCCTCGGATGGTGAGGAAGGCTTACCTAGAAAACACGTGCCCAAAGAAGTCAGATGTGTCGGCCAAAGCTTGAATGGAGACAAGACGGAAAAAGCCAGAGTTGTACTCCAAACAAACGATGGATCTATTACTGGCAAGGTAGCAGCAGATGTGCTAGCTGAAACACACCAGAAGGAAACTGAGGTTCATATTCCCATGCAAAGAATAAAAGAAGTACGAAACCAGACCAAGACTCTTCTAGCAGACTCTAGCACAAAAACAAAAGAGGCCTGCATGTCAGAAAAGTTTACCATGCAAGAGCTGGAAGTTGGAATTGGAGAGTTGAAAATGAAGAAAGTTCCAGGGGCTGACGGCATTACAAACGAATTTCTCTCATCTTGGACCTGCTGCCAAGAAGTTTCTCCTCTGCATTTACAACCAGAGCTGGCAAAAAGGGGTAGTACCGTCTGCCTGGAAGGAAGCCCTCATCCAGCCTATCCTTAAAAAGGGTGGAGACAGAAGAGACCCAAAAAGCTACAGACCTATTAGCCTTCTTAGTTGTGTAGGAAAATTGATGGAGAAATTAGTAAATAAAAGACTAATATGGTTCCTGGAGACAAACTCAGTAATCACCACCACCCAGACAGGATACAGACAGCACAGAAATACAGAGGACCAGTTGACATAGCTGACACAGGAAATTGAGAATGCCTTCCAGGAAAAAAAGAAAGTTCTTGCTGTCTTTTTTGACCTCTCTCGTGCTTTTGATACAGTTTGGAAAGAAGGCCTACAACTAAAACTGCTACAGGCAGGAGTTGTGCACAACATGTACAAGTGGATCAAAGACTTTCTTTTCCAATGCAGAGCCAGATTCAGAATTGATGGACACATCGGCAAACTGGCAAAACTAAGAGAAGGAGTTCCCCAGGGCAGTGCTATATCACCAATTCTGTTCCTGGTTTACATTAATTATATCACAGCAACCTGCCACCAGCACGTTTCTAATACCCTACATGCCGATGACTTTGCAGTTTGGACAGCCTCTGAATACACTACCACAGCCTCATATCTGTTACAAAAAACTGTGGAAACTGTAGAAGCCTGGACCAAAAAGTGGGGTCTAAAGCTAAATAAATCCAAAAGCACAGCATCACTTTTCTCTCTCTCCCCCCAAAAAAGAAAAAATTTAAATTTGGATTAAAATCCAGCTCATTCCACAGGCTGACACTCCTACCTTTCTGGGTGTTACACTTGATTCGCGACTAACTTGGAAGTCACATGTAGAAGCAGCACAAGGAAAAGCATTCAAGAAGCTTGCAGTGATGAAAAAATTAGCGGGTACCACATGGGGCGCTAACTTTAGAATCCTAAAACAAGTATATACTGGAGCAGTCCCATGGAATATGCCTCCACTGCATGGGCTGCAGCAGCCAAGACAACAAGGGAAAACTGGACAAGGTTCAGAATATGGGATTAAGGATTGTTCTCGGAGCCATGAAAACCACCCCCATCAGAGAAATAGAAAAGATAGCAGATACTGAACCACTCGAACTCAGAAGACAATACAAAACTCTTTTACAGTATGAGAAATTAAAAAGACTTCAAAGTCACCCACTGCATTTTAAATTTCAAGGTGGTCTTCGAGCACACTTGTACAGGATAGGCAATAAAAGAATCTGCTGCCTGTGATTGTGGAGCAGAAAGACAAACCCCAGAGCACATACTACAGTACTGCCCTAACCTCTCCCAGCAAAGACTGTGGATCTGGCCCAAAGGAGCCACATTGCAAGAGAAGCTATGGGGGACCTGTGGCGACCTTAAACGCACAATCCTATTTGTGACCCAGACGGGACTCAATGTTTAGCATGACTGATATCGAACGCAAAAGAAGAAGAAGATGTGTCGGCCGAAAGATGCAAATATGGCAGCTGTGTCGAAAACAGGCACAACATATTTATGTCACTCATATGAATGATGATGAAGAAGAATAAGAGCCATGACTTTATATTGTAACAGGGTATAAGGTTAATTTCCAGTACACTTTTAAAAAAAAATGACTGCCTCGACTACTGTAAATCAGAAGAGGAAAACAAAAACAGAGTAAGAGAGTTAGGATGATTGTTTAACTTAGTCATTACCATCACAGTCTCATGATTGTGTAACTAGCATAGAATATTCACTATTTTGTCTTTTGTTGTTACTTAGCAGTGTAGTCATTACCATCACAGTCTCATGATTGTGTAACTTAGTCATTACCATCACAGTCTCATGATTGTGTAACTAGCATAGAATATTCACTATTTTGTCTTTTGTTGTTACTTAGCAGTGTAGTCATTACCATCACACAGTCTCATGATTGTGTAACTTAGTCATTACCATCACAGTCTCATGATTGTGTAACTTAGTCATTACCATCACAGTCTCATGATTGTGTAACTTAGTAATTACCATCACAGTCTCATGATTGTGTAACTAGCATAGAATATTCACTATTTTGTCTTTTGTTGTTACTTAGCAGTGTAGTCATTACCATCACAGTCTCATGATTGTGTAACTTAGTCATTACCATCACAGTCTCATGATTGTGTAACTAGCATAGAATATTCACTATTTTGTCTTTTGTTGTTACTTAGCAGTGTAGTCATTACCATCAAAGTCTCATGATTGTGTAACTTAGTCATTACCATCACAGTCTCATGATTGTGTAACTAGCATAGAATATTCACTATTTTGTCTTTTGTTGTTACTTAGCAGTGTAGTCATTACCATTACAGTCTCATGATTGTGTAACTTAGTCATTACCATCACACTCTCATGATTGTGTAACTTAGTCATTACCATCACACAGTCTCATGATTGTGTAACTTAGTCATTACCATCACAGTCTCATGATTGTGTAACTTAGTCATTACCATCACACAGTCTCATGATTGTGTAACTTAATCATTACCATCACAGTCTCATGATTGTGTAACTTAGTCATTACCATCACAGTCTCATGATTGTGTAACTTAGTCATTACCATCACAGTCTCATGATTGTGTAACTAGCATAGAATATTTACTATTTTGTCTTTTGATGTTACTTAGCAGTGTAGTCATTACCATCACAGTCTCATGATTGTGTAACTTAGTCATTACCATCACAGTCTCATGATTGTGTAACTAGCATAGAATATTCACTATTTTGTCTTTTGTTGTTACTTAGCAGTGTAGTCATTACCATCGCACAGTCTCATGATTGTGTAACTAGCATAGAATATTCACTATTTTGTCTTTTGTTGTTACTTAGCAGTGTAGTCATTACCACCACACAGTCTCGTGATTGTGTAACTAGCATAGAATATTCACTGTTTTGTTTTGTTACTTAGCAGTGTAGTCATTACCATCACACAGTCTCATGATTGTGTAACTAGCATAGAATATTCACTATTTTGTTTTGTGTTGTTACTTAGCAGTGTAGTCATTACCATCACACAGTCTCATGATTGTGTAACTAGCATAGAATATTGACTATTTTGTTTTGTGTTGTTACTTAGCAGTGTAGTCATTACCATCACAGTCTCATGATTGTGTAACTAGCATAGAATATTCACTATTTTGTCTTTTGTTGTTATTTAGCAGTGTTGTCATTACCATCACACAGTCTCATGATTGTGTAACTAGCATAGAATATTCACTATTTTGTTTTGTGTTGTTACTTAGCAGTGTAGTCATTTCACCAGTGTTACTCATTTCCTTCCGCAGTTTAACAGACATGCAGAAAATGGTTTACTCTCAGAAAGAGACTTTGGTAGTATCCTGCTGACTTATGCTGGACTTCCGGACAGCAAGAAATCCAGAATGCTGAAACGTGTTCGCAGGAAGTATAAGGAGGAGCCAAAGGTAAAGTCTGTGTTATATCTGTGTAGAATCAGACAGTCAACAACAGTTGGTGACCCAATGCCCAATGACATGCTGTCTTATGGAACAGTGATGATGATAAGGTGGGGAAGAGAGAGAGGAATCAAATAGCTCAAGAGTTACAGGCTACGGTAGATAAGAAGATTGACTGGTGTACAGAGATGAGTGTTGTAATCAACCCAGAAAAGGCAACCATCCTGTGGTGTTCCTTGGACAACAGGATTGTTAGAGCTGATGTTAAAAGCCTCAAGTGACTGGCTAAATGGTTACAAATCCAGGGCTGTCATGCAGGAAACCTGGGTTTAGATCCTGGGTAAGGTTCGGTATTTCTTTTTTGTTGTTGTTGTTGTTGCAGAAAAAAAATAATTAAATCCTTGACTGCATTGTCTGTGGTGACAGCACTAGCCATGCGACCCTAAATCCTCAGGTAATGGTCATTTTTGGCAGATGTTGATGAGTGAGCAATACTAAGATTCCAGGTCAGTTATGAATGTCTGCCTCGATGTGGATTTAAAGCCAAGATTTTCTGACTACTAGACAAGCATATAGCTGCTGTGCTGCCATGATTCCCACAGGTCTTCAAGGGTGGTTCAGCAAGTGTGTATGCACATTTACAATCCATTTTGTAATGTACGTTGTTGGTTTTATTAATGCCACTTTCTTTTTTTCTCTTGTTAAACAATCTTATTACAATAAAGCTGTGCAAAAACACGTATTTGGACCAGAGTATGTACACCTGTTAAAGGCAAAGCTGTTAGGATGTAAAAGATTATGCCTTAATATATTGTAAGCCACCCGGCTCTCTAGCGTAGTTGGCTAAACCGGACTGCGCGGAGATCGGGAGACGAACTCCTTGTGGTCCGGGTTCAATTCCGGGGGAAGGCAGGAAAGCCACATTTTCTCCCAGATTTACGGTATTTACAATGGAATCAAGGCCGAAATGTTGCGATATCCATAATACCGAGCCTAAGGGTTAATATTAATAACTCATGGCTTCTGGATACTAAAACAAACAAACATATTGTAAGCCAGAACATGTGATGTTTATGATAACAACTGTGATGCCCTGTGGAAAATGCTGGCTGTACGTCCATGTCCATACTTTGGCTTTGTTCAAGGACATTGTTTGTTCTATGCAGGGTTGAATTTCTGTGGTGGTGACTAAAATGATGCCTAGGAAGACACAATTGGGCCACCTGGCTGAAATGTCAAACATCTGGCCCCAAAATGATGCCTAAATAACACATACATAGTTCTGTCTTCTCACCAAAGACAATATCATTGCCGAATACTCACTACGTCCGTTAAGTCAGCTCTTGACTTGACTTGTTTTGCTAATTAAAAAAAATATTCATGCTCAGCCAGCATCCCCCCAGGGGGGGAGCCTTTGGTTATAATTGTGACTAGGTTTATGTGCGCTGTATAAAATGACTTACCAAGTAGCCCTGAAAATGACTCTTGCAGTGTTGATGCAATCAAGAGAGACAGACCCAAATAATGTCCTGACCAACGATGAAGTTGTCTACTGGCTAGCCAGTGGGCGACCCGTTCGCCAGTGTAAGTCAGCTCACTGCAAGCTTACCACATACAGCAAAAGCAACTGACCACAACACTGGCCAGCGCTAGGAACGTAAAATGTCTCGCTTGGTAAGACAGGAAAATAGTCTGACATCTGACATCCAGATGTTAGTCATGTGACTGAGACTTAGCTCAGGTTACAGGTTCATTCAGAGGACCCTGTGCATCTTTTGCAGTAAAGGCGGCAAGTATGATGGTGACCACATTACCCACAGAGTGCCGATTGGTCTAGCATTATATTGCTAATATGCCCGAAGGCATGCAAATGAGTTGCATGCACATTGTTTTACTTATTTGTGTACAGTCTTTTATTTCCTTGCCTTTCGGATAGATGAACTCAGACTTCGAAGGAACATATGTGCTGTGGTTACCAGTTCACTTCCTCATCACCTTTCCTTCCCAGAACATTTCCAAAACATTCTGAGAAAGTTTCTTTAATATCCATTTTTAGGAGGCTGGAATGATTCCACAGCCATATCTTACCCGCATAGGTTGGTAGGTTACACTTGGCTGGTGTCACCGTTACGGGTACCCTAATTATAACTTTCTTGGAGGTTGAACAGGGCATCTGGGGTCTGCCTTGTTGGTCTGCTGTCCAGATTGAGATTTTGTAAAATGGTATGGTAAATCTTTAGATAGCTGCCCAGAGGGGACATACTGATCGATCGATTGTCATATGTTAGGAAACAATGCTGCAACCTCTGGGAATTGAACTTGTACCACTGCCTTGACAAGCAGATGCGCTAACCAATGTTTCTAGCATAATGTATGTCAGCACATACATAATTCTCACTATACATAAATCTCACTAAATGTAATAAGTCTCACTTTTTTCCATAACCATTCAGGGGATTACATTTGAAGAGTATTTAGCATTCTGGACATTTCTGAAAAGCATCAACGATGTCGATACAGCACTGAGCTTTTATCACTTGGCCGGAGTCTCTATTGATGAGGGTAAATCTAGCAGTATTTATATTGTAAAGAAAATTTGCTATAACAGATCCGTAGGGCAGCTTTGGCGTCACTTTGGTTAGTGTAAGTAAAGTCGTCAACATGTGCCATGCAAATAAAAACAGCCAGTCATTTTTCACCATCTCACTAAATAACTGAATCACAAATCAGTTCGGTTTTAGTCTTCCTTAAATTATGTGGCTAAGACATCTTGTTGCCTTTCCTTTGCTCTTTTTCCCATCAAGCTTGCCAGTTGTCACACTGTTGGTTTTGCCATTTCACATGATCACCAGAATCACAGATCAGCTAAGTGGAACTAACAGTGCATACAAATTAGCCAGATCTGTAAAATGGATGTGCACAGAGAACTCAAGTTCTGGATCAAGTCCAGGAGTGGACGAACGACCAGAACTTTTCACTGGAGTTGCAACTGGTGAATGCTACGAGGAAGAAGAAGAAGTAAACCAGTCAACCCAGTCCATGAAAAACCCACCACCCTCAGATAGTGAGGCACACAGAATGTTTACTGAACCTTGGAAACCCCCTAATGGGGTCATTAATCATCCTATTTGATGGTTCCCGGGGGTCCCCAGAAAAATTTTAAGGAGTCAGTGATATAAATTAGATTAGCGACCATGGAAATGAGATGTCTGAGAAGGGCTGCAGGAGAGATCAGAAGAGATGTATCTGGAATAAAATCATAAGAGAAGAAGAAAGCACAGAAACAGTTGTAGATTACATACAAAGACAGCAGATCAAATGTTTTGCCCACTAAGAGGGAATATCTTGTGACATTATGACATAAGAGGCATATGCTAAAAGAGGAGAAGAATGGATAGAATGAGGTAGGCCAATAGCAAGATGGAAAGATAACATTAGAGAAACTCTACAACAGCATGATGTGTCTATGGTCTAGATAACTAGAAAAGTAAGCAGAACCTTGTACCTCCCTTGACACCCAGGTGGTATAAGAGGAGGTGAAGAAAAGTTAAGGGTTAAAGTCGAGAGGCTCGGCTTCATTGCACTGGGTTTTATCTCATGGGGCTCAGTCTCTCCCTCTCCACAGAACAGCTAGCTGCCTGCTGATAGTGTCACACAGAGCGTGAACTCTGTAGCTCAGGAAATGATCCCCAGGGATATTATACTCATAAACTAAAGGGCACAGCCGTGAAATGAACCCTTGACCTTCAGAGCACGAGGAAAATGGCTCCACCACTTTTTTTCACTTCGCCACGAAGACCCCCCCAGAGGAAAAAGGAATATCATTAAAAAAATTTTAAAAAGACAACAACACTGGACGTTAGAATGCAATTCTTTATGTGATTCTAATATTTGTAAATCATAAGTTCTTCAGTCTGACTAATGAGAAGTTTGGGATCTGTGGCAGACCTTTGAAGATAAAAGGCAGGAGCTGCAGATCTCAGCTAGCTGGGAAGCACTAATCTAATGCACTGATGGTAATAAAGTCAACATCTGCTTTTTTTTTTAAAACTGTGCAGCCTGCCAAAGATTTTTAATTTAGGTATGTTCGATCACGTTTTCACAGAACTACAGTGTGTTTATTCTTGTGTTGTTATGTTTGTGTACACTTTTAGCTTGATATGCTTGTGTTGTTAAATGTTTTGTGTACAAATTTGGCTGTCTCCAGAAACTTTCAAGCATGTGGCTAAAACTGTTGCCCTGGTGGAGCTGTCTGACCATGTGATTGATGTCGTGTTCACTTTGTTCGATGAAAACAGTAAGTATTGCCCCAGCCTCGGGTATGGTGGGATAGTTTATATAACATATTTCCATGTGTTGATGAGAACAAAGCCTCAGGTATGGTGAGAGTTTATATAACATATTTCCATGTGTTGATGAGAACAAAGCCTCGGGTATGGTGGGAGTTTATATAACAGACTTATTTCCATGTGTTGGTGAGAGCAAAGCCTCAGGTATGGTGAGAGTTTATATAACAGACTTATTTCCATGTGTTGATGAGAACAAAGCCTCAGGTATGGTGAGAGTTTATATAACGGACTTATTTCCATGAGTTGATGAGAACAAAGCCTTAGGTATGGTGAGATAGTTTATATAACAGACTTGTTTCCATGTGTTGGTGAGAGCAATAGATAATTTCTTGGGTACAGTGGGATGGTTTGTCTAACAGACTTGTTTCCATGTGTTGATGAGAACAAAGCTCAGGTATGGTGAGATAGTTTATATAACAGACTTGTTTCCATGTGTTGATGAGAACAAAGATTCAGGTATGGTGAGATAGTTTATATAACAGACTTGTTTCCATGTGTTGATGAGAACAAAGCCTCAGGTATGGTGGGGTGTTTCCTTCGAAGTCGGAGGGCATCTGCCTGAGAGGCAAGGAACCAACAGTCTGCATGCAAGTAAGCCAGTTCTGTAAAACAGATGTGCACTGCACACAAAACTCAGGTTTTGGAACAAGAATATAGTGCAGAAGTGAATGAGCAACCATAAATTTCTGCCGGATTTTGCAGCCGGTGAGCGTGAAGAAGAAGAAGATGGGTCTATAAGTCTTAGCTAATTTGGAACCGCTGAAGCAGATGATGTTTCTGTTAGCCTAATCACACAGTTGCCTGGCATCGCTTGTGCTGACATCATGTCTTCCTTCTCTAGATGATGGAGAGCTCAGTAACAAGGAGTTTGTGTCTGTGATGAAGCGACGGGTGATGCGTGGCCTGGATCAACCCAAGGACACTGGCTTCGTGAAGCTCATTAACGCCGTGGTCAAGTGTGCTACATCAGCCACAATCTACAGCGAGTAGCTTCTTCTGCGGTAACAGATCTCTGACTGTACAGTCCACACTGTACAAGCTGATGAATGAATGCCTTACCCTAAAATGCTGTTCATTTTTTTTTTATCGTTTAGTATTTTAGATATTGTCTGTAATGCTTATTAGTGTTGAAGGATTTAACTTCTTTAGGCTCAGGCAGTTTCACAAAAAAGTAACCAGTTTGAAAAGTGCGTCCCTGCCCTTCAAGTCCTTGTCTGCCTTTTAACCCGGGCGCTTAACCAGCTTGCCCCAAGGCTTCCTATTATTTGCCATCTCATACAGCTCTCTTTGGGAGTCACTGTGGCATAGCGGCTAGACACTGGCGTGTGGATCGGAACCAGACTTTTTTCAAAAATGACCTTGACTCCCAGGTCAACCCAATTTGAGTGGGTACTGGGTGCAGTCCCAGGAAGTAAAGGGGACCTGGCTCGATGCTGACCACATCAACCATCTTGTGCCGTTCGATCTATAAAAATATAGGTCTAACCCTATTCGCCCTATACGCCTAAAGGCATGGAAAAGGGTCCTTTACTTTTTTACTTACAGCTCTTTTTATAGTTCACCAACTGATCTAACCAGTAGAAGTCGGGTTAGTTCACCAACTGATCTAACCAGTAGAAGTCGGGTTAGTTCACCAACTGATCTAACCAGTAGAAGTCGGGTTAGTTCACCAACTGATCTAACCAGTAGAAGTCGGGTTAGTTCACCAACTGATCTAACCAGTAGAAGTCAGGTTAGTTCACCAACTGATCTAACCAGTAGAAGTCGGGTTAGTTCACCAACTGATCTAACCAGTAGAAGTCGGGTTAGTTCACCAACTGATCTAACCAGTAGAAGTCGGGTTAGTTCACCAAACTGATCTAACCAGTAGAAGTCGGGTTAGTTCACCAACTGATCTAACCAGTAGAAGTCGGGTTAGTTCACCAACTGATCTAACCAGTAGAAGTCGGTTAGTTCACCAACTGATCTAACCAGTAGAAGTCGGGTTAGTTCACCAAACTGATCTAACCAGTAGAAGTCGGGTTAGTTCACCAACTGATCTAACCAGTAGAAGTCGGGTTAGTTCACCAACTGATCTAACCAGTAGAAGTCGGGTTAGTTCACCAACTGATCTAACCAGTAGAAGTCGGGTTAGTTCACCAACTGATCTAACCAGTAGAAGTCGGGTTAGTTCACCAACTGATCTAACCAGTAGAAGTCGGGTTAGTTCACCAACTGATCTAACCAGCAATAGTTGGGTTATTCAACAGCTGGTCTAAACAGCAGGAGTCAGGTTAGTTTAATAACAGATTTACCAATTAGGTTAGTTTAAGACTGGTCGGACCGAAAGGAGTGTCACGCTATGAACGGCAAATAAACTCATAGTGGGTCATGAAGACAGTACACTGACATTTTTAATTTACTCAGAAGATCTCATATCATCTGTTTCTTGGAATGGAAAAGTTAAGATTGTTGAGTATTAGTATATTATTTTATAGATTTCAACTTAAAAGTAGCCATCTAGGTTGTACTGTCCCATGTTATCATACTGATGAAACTTTCAAATTTAAAAAGATATAATTTTTTTATAACAGTTTTCATAATGTCTCTTTTAGTTTTCATAAATGCACTCTCCCCAAAGCCTGTTTTTCAGAGTAAACTTTGTGACTGTGGTTCACTGGAAATAGTGTCAGTTGTATGACATGATTGTCCTTGATCGAGGTTCCAACTTCACTGTTGTCGAAATCTGCACACTATTACAGTTGTATTAGGCTTAAACCAGGCTAGTCATATTGCAAGGTGATTTTTCAGAATATCAATGTTTTCAGCAAGTGTATAGATGGGTAATGATTAAGGTAGAAGATTTTGATTGAGAAACTGGTTGAAAAAGCTGGTGAAGAAAAAAAAAGATTTAAAATATGTTTTTATCTTTGTTTATATAGAAAGATGTATGAAATAAGTAACCAATAAACAGGAACTACTTCTTTGATGTAATCCACTCCACATGTTGTAAGTATTTATAAAGTTTCTATTTGAATAAATTTCCTGTTTTTGCATCACTTCTTAATTAAAATTATTAGTAGACTGTGAAACTTGTGCTGTTTTTGTATGGCCACCCCCCCCCCCCCCCCCCCCCCCCCCCCCCCCCCCACCCAAAATTTAATGTCTCATTATACAAATGTTGAATTAAGAATCGACATTACAGCACTCGGGACACCCCCATAAGCGAACAGTTGAAATTCTGATGGTACCAGTTACTGTCTGTATATCCACCTCATCTTTCCCCTGAGTGTTGAGCATTAGCCAGATCCCCTTGTAACTCCTTGCAGTGCCATTCTCCTCAGACCGTAATGACCTGTCTGTTCCTCGGCACTGTTCACTAGCTACCAAAAGGCTCTTACAGCATCCAGCTTGTCATATATCAGTTTACCACCAAGTGCTGCAGAACCAGTCAATCTATCTGCCTGCTGATTTCCCAACACACCAGTGCGACAATGAGAAAATATCCAAAGGATGCTAACTACCCATGACCTTTGAAGTGATGCTTGCCACTCTGCACGAAGCATGCCTGTTTCCACCTTTCTCAATATGCTTTGTAAGTCAGTATACATAGTTAAGAAAGAGAGAACTTTTAAACAGAAAGTAAACTACCATATCCTTTTCCAAAAGCTGAGGTATTGTCGACATGTCAGATGCCATGGTTGCCTGGAGAGAATGGTGACGGAGAGTGCAGTGTCAGGACAAAGAGGCAGAGGCTGACCTCGCGGTCATCAAAGATGTTCACCTACACTTGTCAGCAGGGTGCATGGTGATGATGATGATGAGTTGTTACATTATCTCACTATATCCTATCTGTTTTCTACTAGTTTATATGTAAACTTATATAGACTTTCTTCTGTGGAGAACAACTAAGGCAATTACTAATAAATTACAGACATTCATTAACTAGTGTCTGCGCAGAATAGAGGGAATTAAATGGTATGATAGAATAACTAATGTAGAACTTTGGGAGAGAACTAAATAGGCTCCAGTGGACCAAGAGGTGAGGAAAAGATGCTGGCGTTGGATAGCACACACATTGAGAAAACAGGAGAACAGCATAACTAGAATGTCTTTGCATTGGAACCCACAGGGGCATAGGAATAAAGGAAGGCCAAAAAACACATGGAGAAGAGATCTGGAGAATGAAGTTAGAAAGATGGGGAGGACATGGGGAGAGCTCCATGCAATGGCGAAGGATAGAATGACTTGGCATGAGTTGGTTGAGGGCCTATGCTCCATTGGGGGATAGAAAGGCAGAAGAAGGAGACTTTCTTCTACTTCTGTGTTGGCTAGCTCTAAACTCCTTGCACAAAGTCCTGGTTGTCTGTCCTTCTTCCTCACCAACTGTACACTCTGGCAGAAAGTTCTCACTTTTCATTCACTTCTGAACTTTAGTTTTGTTCTAGAACCTGCTGAGTTTTGCTTGTACATTGATTTTATAAATCTGGCTTGCTTTTATACTGACGATTGGTTCCTTGCCTCTCAGGCAGCTAGATATACTCCGGCTGCAAAGGAAGTACCCCCAAATCAGTAGACTTATGACACGCTTGTTGGGGGGGGGGGGGGCAGTGGGTCTATTCTCTCCCCCCCCCCCCCCCCAATATTGGAGCACTAGAACTTACCAGGGAGGTTGTCCATGCCTAGACTTTGGTCTTGTTCTGTGCATCTGTTTTACAGATTTGGCTTTTTTGTGCAGTGTCAGTGGGTTGTTTTCTCCACTCCCCTACAGATGCGCATCAGCTTGGAAGATAACATTGATTCTGTCTACACTGGCTAGACTTGTGGTAGGGAATCTGTTTCTAGGATGACCACAGAGAGGTGCAGATAGGTCTGGTCTTGACCAGGGTGAGCCCAGACCAGTGTACAACCACCACATTTGTTGATACACCTTTGCTATCTCCTTTAGACTCAATATTACTTTAGTCCAGTATTTCCCATTTAGTAAGTACACCTATTTCCCGCCTTCAGGTTTATTGGGCATATAGGGCTAGACCTATAATTTATAGACCAATCGGCACTTGGTTGGTGATGTGGTCAAAATCATGCTGGCTGCCTTTACTTCCCAGGATTGCACCTGGTACCCACTCAAGAATCGACCTGGTTGCCAAGGCTAAGTCCCCCCACCCCCCTTTTTCCTGAAACGTTTCCCATCTTTTTAGAATGCAGTCATGTTTGTGATTGTAAAATATATAAATTATAATCAATTCTTTATTAAGACTTTTAAGAAGTATGGGGTCTACGGAAAGATCAATTCCACCTTCAAAAATCTTCTACTTTGCATTCACCAGCTGTAAACACTGGTGGAAAGTTCTAGTTTTTCATCCCTTTCTGAATTTTTGTCTAGTTCCAGAACTTGAGTTTTGCACACACATCCATTTGATAGATCTGGCTTATTTGTAAACAGAGTGTTGGTTACTCACCTCTCAGGCAGATGCACTCTGACATCGAAGGAAAGACTCCAAATTAGCTGACTTTTACAACATGCTTGCTAGGGGGCAGCGAGTCTCCCCCCCCCCCCCCCCCCCCCCCCCCCCCCATGGGGCCCCGGAAACCACACGGGAAGACCTTCAAAAATAAGAGGGGAGTTATTTTATTTCACCCCATCTCAGGGACTCCCAAGATTTCATAGGGAATTCATGTCTAAGTTCAGGATTATGGGGAAAGGGGAGTATGGCTTGTGTTAGTTGGTGTTCATTTCACACCCAACACCCCTATACTGTTGGACTTTCCCAGGAATTTCCTACAAAATTTCAGAGTCCCCGAGATGGAGTGAAATAAAAGAAAAGGACCACAAGGGTTCCTCAGGTCTGAGCTGACTAGTAACCAGTGGTGTAAGATGATAGTGGCTTTGGACAGAATGAGTAAAGTGACACCCTACTAGTACCGAAAAAGTTAAAAGGCAACAGCCCAAGGGCTAGATGTTAACTGAAGTTATTCTTCAGTCTTCCACTTCTGCTGCATTTGCCCTTAAAACTGAAGTTGACACACTCTATGCATATCTTCTTACCTACCTGTCTTGTTTGCTCAAGTGAAACACAATTACACATTTACATTCATTAACAAACAACAAAACCATTGAAGCTTTTTTTTTTTTTTCATGTGTTTACCAGATTCCAGAGACATACAAGCAATTCAGTAAAATCATGAACTTAGGACTTCTAATTTTTGTCTTCATGTAATGTACAACAAGTCAGCTCTGTGGCTAAGTCGATGTGAACACTTCGCTTCGTAATGCCGGGATGCCGGGTTCGATCCCAGCTGCAGGCAATGCGCCTTGCGTTGGTTTCGACAGTGGTATCAAGAAAGCCGACCGTCCAGAAAGCAATGGCAAACTACTGGACGTAATTTTGCCTAGAGAAACCACACAACAGCCAGGGGCTGTTAGGGTTAGTTCTGCAACGTCCTGTAAAGGATACGCAACTAACCTTATAATGTACAACGATGTGATTCTGATGATTGAATAAACAAAAAGAGGAACAAAATAAACAGTTCACCTATGTATAAGGGGAAGTCAATAAGTAAGTCACAAATGGTTATGCAAATGGCAGGAAAATGTAGTCAGTGAGTGGTTTCTAAAGGTTTCGTTAGGTGACAGCAACATTGAACTTTATGTCTCTGTTTGTTAGGTGGCGCTAGATGTTGCATTCACAACATAAAAAAAAAAATGGCGACTACTTACGGAGTGTGCCCTCAAAGAACTACATGCCATTGTGCGGTTTTTTTTGGGGGGAGGGGGGGGGGGAAGCAAAAAGGCTGCCTGCAAAAGACAATTATGATGCAATGCTTGCTGTTTATGCTGACAAATGTTTATCACGTAAAATATCAAGGACACTCTAAAATTGTTGATGAAGTCTGATCTAGTCATCCTGTTGAGACTGCAACAGACACATCCGTGCATCAGGTGAAAGAGACAATTAGAGGTGACAAGGGAGTAACAGTTGACTCTGTAGCAGCTGCAATAGGAGGCTCACATGGTTCAGCATACAACAAAATGCGTGATTAAAATTTAAGAAAGTGTGCTCAAGGTGGCTACCCAGACAATTGATGGACAAACATAAAATGAACCGATTAGGCCTGTCCTTACAGCATCTCTGTCATTACACAGATAAAGAAGAAGACATGCTGACCAGGATTATGACTGTGGATGAATCATGGGGGCATCACTACTAGCCCGAATCAAAGCGTGCTTCAATACAATGGAGACATCCTACTTCGTCTTGTGTTAAACTTCGTCTTGTGTTAAAAAAATCATAGTTACGCCATCAGCAGGGAAGGTTATGCTGACAGTGTTCTGGGATTGTCAAGGAGTGCTTTTAACCAATAAAAAAAAAAAAAAAGGTGGCGTCGATGTTAATACTAATTTATACTATAAAGTTCTATCGATGCTTCATGGTGCAGTTTGAAGAAAACATCTAGGCCTGCTGACTAAAGGCACTAGAGTACTGATTCTTCATGACAATGGCAGACTACATACAGTTCGGTTAACTCAGGAGAAAATTAACTATCTAGGGTGAGAACTTCTGGAACATCCCCCTTACAGCCCCAACTCAGCCCCTAGTGATTTCCACCTTTTTGGTCCACTGAAAACCCACTTTGGTGGGAGACATTTCGCGAATGATGCAGACATTGAATGTGAAGTGAAAATGTTGTTTAGAAAACAGAGCTCGCAGTTCTATGCAGCAGAATTGGGAGGACTGATAAAACGATGAGACTAGTGCATCAATGTTGGTGGAAATCATGTTGAAAAATAAAGGGCCAGTGTATGTGTTTAAAAAAAAAAACGGTTTTCAAGTTGTTATCGTCTTTGGTTTTTTTTTTTTTAAACAACCATTTGTGACTGACTTATTGACTTCTCATATAATCTAAACAAAAGAGGAACAAAGTAACAAAAGACTAATTCTAATGTATGATTTGAATAAACAGAAAAAAAGGAACAAAATAACAATACAGTCATTGTAATGTAAGACTAGAACAAACAGAAAGAGGAACAAAGTAATAAAACAGTAATTTTAATGTAAGATTTGAACAAATAGAAAGAGGAACAAAGTAATAAAACAGTCATTTTAATGTAAGAATTGAACAAATAGAGGAACAAAGTAATAAAACAGTCACTTTAATGTATGAATCAGAAAGTGCAAGAAAGCAAAAAATCATTCATTCTAATGTAAGATTTGAAGAGACAAAAAGAGGAACAAAGTAGAAAAAAAACAAAAAACAAAAGAAAGATCATTAATTCTAATGTAAGATTTGAAGAGACAAAAAGAGGAACAGTTAAATAAAAAAAAAAAAAGGATGTTTTTTTAAAAATTCTAACAAATATTTGAATAAACAGAAAGAAGAACAAAGTTACATAATAAAATATCTCCTTGCTAACGAGGGTGTGGACGACTGTTTCAGTTTAAGTTCTCTCCCTTGGCCGCACAAACAGTGAAAGAAGTCACGAAGACTTAGTTATCAAACCATTGCGTGTAAGGTTGCATTACGTAGTCATCATACGGTTGAGTGTAATAGTCATATTGATTGCGTACATCATACGGTCATACAGACAGGCTGAATGCTGTTGCGTGTAAAGGGTTTGGGCTTAGGGGTGTTTGGTTAGGGGTAAGTAAAGAGGTTAGTGGTAAGGGGTTGGGGTTAGGGTTGGGGTTAGGGTTGGGTTAAGTTAGGGGTTGGGTTAGGGGTTAGGTTTAGCGTTAGGTATGTTAGATGTGACAATTTTGACGACGCAGGAATTCCCAATAATCGCGCACGTCACATACAGCTAAACAGTCCGGACTGATGAGCCACACACGTTCATCGCCACCGGTTCACTGCAATTTGCGGTCATATTTGACAGACTTCCAGTGGCGCACTCCCACAAGAATCAGATTGTCATATTTGACCCCTACGTCAATAATCTAAGCCTTTTCATCTGTATTACTCCCAGAAACACATCAGTCTATCACTAAAATGTCAACTTCTTTGTCCAGGTTGATGTTGCTTCACTGCTTTTTAAATATTAAGTTGTGACGATGCGCTTTTTCGAAAAGAGTGAAAACTCTATTTGTCCGATCAAGAAGCCAAATGAATTCAATGTTGATGTGAACTGTAAAAATTTACTCCAATGTATGTGAACAGACAGGCTGAATCTCTCAGAGTCATTTGCTGGCACTTCCGTTAGTAGCCACTATTCACAAATAGGCCCAATGTTAATGTGAAACATCTATCACTAAACTGTCAACTTCTTTTAGGTTGATCTGCTTCACTATAATTTGAATCTTATCATTTGCACAAGAAATGAACAGTTGTTAAAACTGTGGAATCTCTCAAAGTAGCTAAAGTAGCTATACACCTAATATTAATGTGGACATATCACTGTATGTAACTGTAATGTTAATCTGACAGTAATATGAAATCTGACTGATGAAACTGTAATGTTTATCTGACAATAATATGAATTTGACTGTATGAACTGTAATGTTAATCTGACAGTAACATAATTATATGACTGATGGAAATGTAATGTTAATCTGACAGTAATATGAATATAACTGATGGAAATGTAATGTTAATCTGACTGTAATATGAATATAACTGCATGAACTGTAATGTTAATCTGACAGTGATATGAATCTGACTGTATAAACTGTAATGTTAATTTGACTGATAATAATCTGACTGTTTGAACTGTAATGTTAATCTGACTGATATGAATCTGACTGTTTGAACTTAAATGTTTATCTGGCGGTAATGTCTAATCGAAACGTTTAACTGGCAGTAATGTCTAACTAAAATATCCCACTTACTGTACAATCCAACTATAACTGTCTGTCAAACTATAGTGTATGTTTTACAGTAGTATCTTATCTGACTGCTCTTTGTAGTGTCTGTAGATTCTATCTGATTGTACATCTGACTGTACGCACTACGTGTGTCTGACGATTGATTACTGTTCATCTTGCAGTGCAAGCAATTATCAAAAATTAATTTTTTTTTCCAACTGCCATTTATCATAATCATTACCATCATGTGTCGCGCAAGTAAGTGCAAGCTGTCATGTTTAGACATCTTATGTGATCACCATAATCACAGATCAAGTCAATGTTCCTCTTTCACCCCTGTTGCGTGCTGATTTGGGAGAGTAATATTGTGTGAAGGGACAGAGTGGTATGATAGTACTTTCTGTAAGTTCGAGGGGAATAATGTCAACATTAACTCGAGTAGTGAGGGGGAGAGGATGTTGACCAGTGAGAATGTATTATCACGAACAAGGCCTGCACGCACGAGAAAGTAGACGCGTGGGTTTACTGTGTGGGGGCTGACAAGCATGGATAACGAGGAGAACAGAGTAAGTGTGAATTACGTGACAGTGTGATTCTCATGTAACATCAGCCGCCCACATGAGCGTGATCCTCGAGAACACCCACATGAGCGTGAGTCTCGAGAACGCCCACATGAGCGTGAGTCTCGAGAAAGCTTATATGAGGATGATTCCCGAGAATGCACACACGAGCGTGCCTCTCGTGTAACATCAGTCGCCCACATGAGTTTGGCAGAGATAAATTGGGCTGAGTAGTCAGTCCGAGTCAGTCAAAGTCCGAGAGTCAGAGCAAGACAGAGAGAGAGAGAGAGAGAGAGAGAGAGAGAGAGAGAGAGAGGACCAAGTCAGGGTCAGTCATTATCTCTCTCAAGTAAGACAGACAGAGTACCAGACAACTATCAGGCATCAAGGTCTGAGTAAGGGTTGAGGTTGCGGTACTGTCCCGCTGGCGAAGTAATTTCAAGGGGCACGGGATGCTCCAAGAGTAACTGTTCTGGATGACGATGCAAGGAGACGTAGGGTCACTACGGAAACAGAACAGTAGGGGATTGCGACGAGAGCTGTGTGCTAGAGGGGACTTGTGTTAGAAGTCCTGTCGGTCACAGGAGTCCTTTGACAGGCTGACGTGCTGTGTGTTTTGGAAAACGTCAAGGGTAGTCCGTCTCCAGTCAGCTGTGGTTGTCTGCTGAAATAATATCAAGGTCCAGTGGACAGGAGAATTCGTCCTGTTCGGTGGTACGGCGAGCCCAGAGTTGTGGGACGCTGTAGATCTTTGGAGCTGTAGTGGTCAGGAAGAGGTCGCTACAAGTTGAGAGAGAGCGAGTGAGGACTAAATGGACTATGTTCAAATTAGGATCGATGTCCACGTCTCTGCCGTTGTGTCATGTAACCTGTTGAATAACATGTATGACGGAGCTACTGTCGTCGAGTCCTGCTTCGAGTGAGAGGGAGCGAAAGTTGTACCTTCTGGTCATTTGAAAATGTCCTGATTACAGCGTAACTCAGATAGCACACAACACCCCCATCCATGTGGCCAATCAATTCAGGTATTTATTTCTTCCTTCCCTTCCCTTCGCGGGGAACGAGTACTGCAAACAAATAAGCCAGTAAAACGGATGTACACGCAAAACTCAGGTCAAGGTAAAAGCCAAAAGTCCATTTTGGACGAACAACCGCGACTTACCGCCGGAATTCACAGCCGGTGAACAAGAAGAAGAAGAAGAAGTTCTGTTTCCATCATTATTTCTAGTTGTTACCAAATTCCCAAGTCCACTCCTTCTCATAAAATGCCCCCCCCCCCCCCCCCCACCCCAATACCAAATGTCTATGTATAACTGTTCTAATAAGTTTACGACTTTGTGAAATCACGACAGTTCTTAACATCTTGAAGAATCAAGTTGCCATTGCTTTACTTTTTGGCAATGATCACACTCGTCAGGAAAAACATTCGAACATCTGACTAAAACATTGCTTGCAAAATGCAGCTTAAAAATACTGGGCATAGACACTGTCAACTTCTTGAGGGCCCTAGCCATGCATGTTGGCACATCAGCTGCTGCTGCTAGACTAATATCATGGAAAGATGGTTTTGGTTTAGACCATGGATCAACATCATGGTGCAGGCATAGTAATTCATAAGTGCTCAATTCTACTTCTGACTCAAGCACCGGCGAAGATTCTGAAATACTCTACATAGATTTTAAACTCCAAATTTTGCCCGGGCAACGCCGTTAGGCTACTCTCTTTACATTTCTATCTGTCAAGGGATTTTTTACGTTAGCAACAAATAATACACACGGGCCTCCAATCTTACAACCTAGACACCAGGAGCAATTACTACAAGTCCACGTAAAAAAATTTCCAGCCTTCATCGGGGCTTACAACCGGGACCTCCAGCACTCGAGGCTCGCGCCACGCCTTGAGATCTCCCAGTCCCCATCATGGGAAGATTAAAATCGAACAAAAAGTAGATGCTAGACTAATAAGCACTCAGGTGATGTGGGTAACACCAGGCCTGCCACCTTTACTTCCTAGGACTCCCTGTATGGGTTCTGGGTCCCCATTTTGGCGAAAAAAGAATAGATCCACTACCTCTAACAGCAAGTCTATGAGAGGACTAATTAGGGGTGTTTATTTTAAAGGAAGAATGCCTCCGTCTAAGAGGCGAGGAGCCAACAGTCTTTTTACAAATAAGCACATATTTACTGTAAAACAGAAGTACAGGCAAAACTCAAATTCTGGAACAAGACCAAAGACCAGAAGTGGACAAACAACTTGAACCTTCCACCACAGTAAACAGCCTGTGAACGCAAAGAAGAAGAAATTAGAACGTTAATGAAAAAAGGAGAAAATCTTAACTGCATATATTGTGACCAACCTCAAAATTCTTGGTAAATTCTGAGAAAATTCCAAACAAATCACTGGTGCCGAAAGTTTTAGGATTCTCTCCATAGTATTTAACTGTTCTAGAGAATTCATCTGCTGCACTTGCTTGAAGTCTGAACAAGCTTTGAACCTCTTCAGTGGCTTCCTCTATAAAGTGCTGTGTAACCAGTTAAGTTCAATATACATGTGATGCTATTTTCACATTAGGAGTCTCTGGATATTTGGTTAAGCTGTTTGTCTTGCACTTTGCAGACTGTAGGTTTGATTTGTGGACTAGATTGTTTGGCGCATTTCTTACTTATTTCCGGGGACTGTCACTGGAGCTGTGGAGTTTGTGCTTTGTGTGACTCTAAGGTGGCCAGCTGTGTTCTGTGGCTAACTGCTCTATGACTGGTTGTTCTTTGGCTTATTGTGCGCATGGATGCTAAGCCTTTCTATCATTAAGCATGTCATGTAGCTCCCTGTATGTCCTACTTATTTTATTCACCTCTGTTTCTCAATCTGTTCAACATGTGTTTTAGGTCTACTCTATTGCTTTTGCCCTGTGGGTTTCAGAGAAAGGACTTTCTGACTATACTATTAACAGATTATCTCAACCTTTTCAAGCACCAACGTTTCCTCTAACTTCTAGATAGGCTGAAATTTGTTTAATTGACAACACTGACTGGGCTGGGCTTTCATTTGGGAAACAACACCAAACATTATGTTTGATGATTTTAATCCTATCCTAAACAGGCACCGGTTTATGAATGTTTGCAGTTTAGGATTTAATTTTTCTTAACTTAACAATATCACAGTGCTACAAAGAGTCACCTCAAATTCTCATTTCAATATCTCTGTCTGTCATCTTGGTCTACCTTGCTGCCCATGTGAGTTTTACGGCTTTACCAATGCAGGGGAAACAAGAATAGATCACTACACCCCCCCCCCCCCACAACACAAGCCTGTAAAGGGCGACTAATAAGGTGTTGCCATCGAAGTAAGTTTGCATCTACCTGAATGGCAAGGAACCAACAGTCTGCATACAAATAAACCAGATCTATAAAATGAATGTGCATGCAAAACTCAAGGTCTAGAAAAAGATGAAAGTTCTGAAATGTAGAAATAACCAGAACTTTCTGCCTCAGTTATCAGCTGGTGAACGCTAAGAAGAAGAAGAAGAAAAAGATTCAATCCATTTCCTCAGCTGACCTTTAATGCTCATGAGAACTTCCCAACTAATTAAAAAAAAAAAATTGAATGATTTTCTTTTACTGCTATACTTCTGATGATGACATGAAGGTTTCTGAGTTTCCTTCTATTGCTACCCTGAGAGGGAACATGAAAGGAGCAGCACAGGAAGACAAAGGAAAGAGTGGAGAGGGAAGAGCTTGAACAGACCATGGATCAATGCTCCATTTGCGGAATCAAATTATAAAGAAGAGGAAGAATACATTATAATAAGAAAACTCTTGTATCAAGAAATTAACTTTAGTAATTGTGAGCAGTTAGAGCCAGACACAAAATTAGACAGTTTTGAAAATAAATGCCTTAGAAGAATACTAAATTTCAAATGGTCAGATTTCCGAACCAATACACAAATAAGGCAAGAATCCAGGCAAGAGTATGTGTCTAATTTTATACGAAAACGCCGCTGGAATTATGTCGGCCACGCCCTTAGAATGGATAAATCAAGACTTCCTTACCAAGCCCTCATTTGGACACCACAGGGGAAAAGATCTCATGGAAGACCAAGGGAAACCCTACGTAGAACTATCATCAGGGAAGGCTCGCTCATGGGCCACTCAAACATCCAAGACCTACAACAGATTGCAACGAACCGCCATGCATGGAGAGTCATGACCTCTGCCCTATGTGCCGCACTCGACACAAGAGGAAAGACTAACTAACTAACTAACTAATTATGAGCAAGGATACACTCATCACTTCTTGAAACTGATCCCCAGATTCTGAATATTGTGAGTTATTTTTACTATCTTCTAGGCCAGTAGACATCTCCTGAAATGTAAAGTCGTAAAAACATGTAGTTTTTTTTTTTTTGAAAGGTGTATTTTAGGTAAATATGGAATACTGATATAAAATATATGAGGTTTGTTAAGTTACATAAGGAGTTCAAGAATAATGTGATAATATCTGTGAAAGGAATTTTTCAAGATGTATGGCGACATAGGAGCCTATTTAAACTTGTAAAAACTCACACCTTGATAAGAATGTGAACTTATGACTACTGGGCTAAGAGACAAGTGTGCAAGCTATTGTGTTATCACAGCTCACAGAGAGATGGAGGAGAGAGAGAGAGAGAGAGAGAGAGAGAGAGAGAGAGAGAGAGAGAGAGAGAGAGAGAGAAATACAGTGAGAAGCAGCAGCATAGAGAGACAGAGGGAGAACGAATGAATGAACAAACTTTTTTTTCAAAGGGTTACAAATTGGGCAGGCAGGCCTGTCTTACCTTCAGCCCTTCCAAGCACTCATCTTTCAGGCCACAAATGCATGTTATCAATCATGCATATTATCTATATAACAAAAATATAAATAATGCAATAATGCATACAAGCATCTTGCATATAGTCATGCACGCTCTGAATATACAGGTACACATACATACACTCTTATATGCCCATACATACACAACACCAGCACATTCATATATTTATATACACATACTCATCTATACATGCTCATACAGACACATACAAGTACCCACATTTATGCGCACAAATGCATGTTCTCAAACTGATACACACACACGTGTACTCTCATGCATACACACTTATATACATCCAGACACACACCCACACTCATCTATCCACATACATAGACTCATGCATGCATCACATCCACACATACTCACTTAAACATACCCACACATGAATACATATACACACCTACACTCACATTTATACAAACCCCAAACACCAGTATACGAGATAGCAGGAGAGAGACATATACAGAGAGAAGCAGGAGAGGCAGATACAGTGAGAAGCAGGAGAGACAGATACAGTGAGGAGAAGAAGAAGAGAGAGCAGGAAAGAGACATATACAGAGAGAAACAGGAGAGAGAGAGAGAGAGAGAGAGAGAGAGAGACAGAGAGGTCGCTTTTTAGTTAGATATATATAATTTTGTAAAGTCAACAACAAACAAACACAACTCCCTGTTTTACCAGGGCAGCCCCCAGTGTCATTCCAGTTGTAAAGCTTTCTTCAAGAAATCATAACCGATATTCCTGCACTGTGATTTTACACTACACTGGAGGACTGTCGGTTACGATTCCTTGAAGACTGAAATTTTCCAAATGCCAACAGTTTTGTGGTTTCAACAAAGTAACAGCAAGGTAAGTAAAACCTGTTCCAGTGTTTAACGACTATCATGCATCAGTCTGCAGAAATCAATGAACTGACCATGTACCTGAAGTGTTTTCCAAAGATCTCGAATATCTGTTGTCACTGTCTCCAGGGAAACTATTGAAGAAACAAACGACACAAGCAATGTGTAAACGTTGACCTCATTCTTTCATTCGTTCCATGACAAGTTTAGATATAATACTGTCTTCTTTTTAGGGTTTGCCAGCTGTAAACTCTGACTGAAAGTTCTGGCTGTTTGTCCACTTCTGAACTTTTGTCTTGTTCCAGGACTTCAGTTTTGTGGGAATATCCTTTCACAGATCTGGCTTCTTCGTATGCAGACTGTTGGTTCTTCCCCTCACAGGCAGATGCACCAGGACTTTCAAATTAGTTGACTTGTACGACATGCTTGTTAGGGGGCAGTGAGTCTACCCTAAGAAACTACACATGATGTTAATATTGTAATTACTAGTTTGTTAAATGTACCTAAATCACTTATTTCTGCATCTAGATCAATTTTTTCAAAATCACCTTGGCTCCCAGGCGATCTAGCCTGAAATGGGTACCAGGTAATGTCATGGGAAGTAAAGGCAGCAGCAGTAATGTTGAGCACACTGCTCATCGTGTGTCGACTAAGTCTATACTGAATCTAGCATTATGTGCCTGTTATACCACGGACGTACTTTCACTGTTCCGTTGTATTGTATTTCTACAGATAACAGATGTTCTCTTTTCAGATACTTTCTTGTTTAAAAGCCAGATTTTTTGTCAATCTTATTCTTCTTCACACTCACTTGCTGTAAACTCTAGCTGAAAGTTCTGGTTGTTTGTCCTTTCTGGACCCTAGTCCTGTTCCAGACCCTAAGTGTTCAGTGCACATCCATTTTGCAGATCTGACTCATTTGTATTCAGATTGGTGGTTCCTTGCCTCTCAGGTGGATGCACTCTGAGTTCCAAGGAAGCTCCTAATTAGCAGACTCCTACGACATGTTTGTTGGGTAGGCAGCGGGTCTATTTTTGTTTTACCCATGATGGGACCCCAGAACCCACATGGGGATATGTGTCAATAAATAATTTGTCTGAAGATTATTTGTCTCTATTACAAGAAAATGTTGGCAATACCTTTAAGGGAACATGAACTATAAATCATCATGGACAAAGTAGTATTGTGCAAGATGAAATATATTTTCATGTGAACGCAACAGTGTCTATTGTAGAGAGAACAATAATGATAAAGTGCTTGTCTTCTAGAACTTGTGTGTGTGTGTGTGTGTGCGCATGCGTGCATGTATGTGTGCGCATGTGCTTGTGCGTGTGTTTGAGTGTCTGTATATATTTTACATCTAAGCAACCTTGCTCCACCATTCTGAACACTTACATTATTTGTTCTTCTTTCTCATACCATTCATATGCTGTAAACTCCAGTGGAAAGTCCTTGCTGTTCGTCCACTTCTGGACTTTTGTCTTGTTCCAGAACTCGAGTTTTGTGCACACATCCATTTTACTATCAGGCTTTTTTGTATGCAGACTACTGGTTGCTTGCCTCTCTTGGTTGGCCAAGTGGGAGCATGCTTCTAGATGGTCACGGAACGGTGTAGATATGTCTTGACCAGTATGAGTCCTGGGCTTGGTGTACCACCACATGCAGTTTAGTACCTTGGCCCTCACCCACCTGCCCGCACCCATGCACTCACACATATTTTAAAAGTCTTTCTTGTATGCTCCCAATATGTGTGGTCATGATCCTGTTTCTACTCCATGCAGTCGTGACAGAATATACAATATCTGATGAGCCTTTCTTAAAGTTTCATTCAAATCTTGTGTAATTCCAGTGCTAACTTATTGAAGGGAGAGTTTGAAAGCAATGGTAGCTTTGAGAACAAATGTCTTAGAAGAATAATCTCCAACTGGATAGATTTCAGGTCCAGCAGGCAAATAAGACAAGAGACCAAGGAAGATAATGCATCAATTTTACAAGAAAGCACCGCTGGAACTTCATCGGCCATGCACTCAGAATGGATAAGACAAGACTTCCCCCATCAAGCCATCATCTGGACATTGGAAGGGAATAGAAAATATGAAAGAGCAAGAGAGACCCCGCATAGAACCATCATCAGGGAAGGCTCAACCATGGGCCTAACAAACATGCAAGACCTAAAACAGGTGGCAATAAACCGCCAGACATGGAGAGCTATGACCTCTGCCCAATGTGCCTCGCTAGGCTCAAAAGGAAAGACTAACTAACCTAAAGTTTGCATGAGACTTTTTTTTTGGGAGAGAAGTAAAAGTGTTATCTTGATGAATGTGATCTTCTTCTGTATCAGTCCTTAAAATGGTGACTGGCATGTTCTTTTGTAGTTTACAGCTAGGCTACTATATCTATGCCTTTCGGCCCAGGCACCTTCGATTTCAACCGCCCACTTATTAGTAGCCTTTTATGACATGCTTGTAAAGAAGGCAGTGGGTCTTTTCATTTTCACCCCAAAATGGGGCATGGAACCCAAATAGGGAGTGTATTTGGACACACACACACAAAACTCAAGTTCTGGATCAAGACTAAGATAAAGGTGGGAGGTCCGACTTCATTGCACCAAGTTTTATCCCATATGGGCTCAGTCTCTCTCTACAGAACAGCTAGCTGCCTGCTGAGAGCATCACAGAGAGCACGATCTCTAAAGCTCCGGTGATGATCCCCCAGGGATCTCCGTAAAAATTGCACTTGTGAGCTGAACGGCACCGCAGTGAAGCAAACTCACAAACTTCAGAACCCGAGGCAAACGGTGTGACCACTTTGCCATGGATCAAGACTAAAATTACAGGAGTGGACGAACAACCAGAACTTTCTGATGGAGTTTACAGCTAGTGAATGCTAAGAAGAAGGGGAGACCGAGGTTCAACACTTATGTTAGATATGCATTCAAACACAACTGGAACAGACCCTACCTTTGGCTGCCTTCTCTACAGTCGGCAGATCATCAGTAAGTTGTACAGACTCAGGAAACTTATTGCAGGCTGCCTCGGCCAACACATGCAGGAATGAAGACTTCCTGTCAGCAGTTTTTGTGACATCCAGCTGAGGAGAAATCATTAAGTTCATGGACATTTCCTATGTGTTATTTCAACTGTTCTCATTCTTTATCTGCCCTTTCTGCCCTTTTATATGTGTTATTTCAACTGTTCTCATTCTTTATCTGCCCTTTCTGCCCTTTTATATGTGTTATTTCAACTGTTCTCATTCTTTATCTGCCCTTTCTGCCCTTTTATGTGTGTTATTTCAACTGTTCTCATTCTTTATCTGCCCTTTTATGTGTGTTATTTCAACTGTTCTCATTCTTTATCTGCCCTTTTATATGTGTTATTTCAACTGTTCTCATTCTTTATCTGCCCTTTCTGCCCTTTTATGTGTTATTTCAACTGTTCTCATTCTTTATCTGCCCTTTTATGTGTGTTATTTCAACTGTTCTCATTCTTTATCTGCCCTTTCTGCCCATTTATGTGTGTTATTTCAACTGTTCTCATTCTTTATCTGCCCTTTCTGCCCTTTTATATGTGTTATTTCAACTGTTCTCATTTATCTGCCCTTTCGCCCTTTTATGTGTGTTATTTCAACTGTTCTCATTCTTTATCTGCCCTTTCTGCGTGTTATTTCAACTGTTCTCATTCTTTATCTGCCCTTTATGCCCTTTTATATGTGTTATTTCAACTGTTCTCATTCTTTATCTGCCCTTTTATGTGTGTTATTTCAACTGTTCTCATTCTTTATCTGCCCTTTTATGTGTGTTATTTCAACTGTTCTCATTCTTTATTTGCCCTTTCTGCCCTTTTATATGTGTTATTTCAACTGTTCTCATTCTTTATCTGCCCTTTCTGCCCTTTTATGTGTGTTATTTCAACTGTTCTCATTCTTCACCTGCCTTTTATTCTTCCAATGAAGCATAGACCTCTCCTTGTGTATTTTGATCTGCCTTTATTCTTCTAAACCTGTCGTTCTAGTGCAATAATATTTTAGTTATATTGTTACCAGGTTTTCTCAGTGTGTTACAAGTTAATGTTAAAGTTAAAATATTTGCTGACAACTAAATATGCACCCCTCCTAAACTGTGGTGTGGTCATTCGCCCCAGTATATCTCTTGTGAAGTAGTGGTCAATTACACTACTGCCGGTTTGCTAGGCTCCTCGTGGGCCGGGATAGACAAAAATTAGATCTGGTTGATGGTTAGACACCCAAATATCTCCCTTCCAGCAAAGCAGCAAATGATTAATAGCATTTTCATCATTACTTTATGCTATCAGTGCCAAACATGGACAATGAAAAAAACTACATGGGAAATGTGCCGTCTCCATAAGGTCAATACCAGCATTAGAGAGAAAGTTGCAATAAGACCAGTCTGGATTATACTGACACAAAGCATGAAATGGTTCAGCCATCTAGTGAGAATGCAACCAGACCAAACTACACAAGAAACTTTTTACAGCAGAACAGATGGGAGAAAGGCGACGGAAAGACAAAGAAAGAGACCGATAAATGGGGTAGGGGAAACATGCAAAAAGATGAACAAATCTATCATCCAAGCCATCCAAGAAGTGCAAGACAAATACAGAAAACCACAACACTGGTATCAGTGAGACCACAAAAGAAGATCTGCCCCAATGTTGTATATACTGCTGTGTTGGGGATAGAATGGTTTGAATTAACTGTCAGTCATATATAATTAATAACTAATTCTTCATGGAGATCTGAACATCAAGGAAGATTGGCTAATAAACAAAATCCTTTCTCAGAAGCTGAAATATTTTGGTCATTTCAAGCGCCACAACGGATTGGAAAAAACTATAGCAGAAGGCATGGTACCAGGAAGGAGGGTCAGGGGCCGACCGACACGAAGATGGGCACAGGATATAAGTGACTCCTTGAGTATGAAGGTATATGAGGCAGGAGAACTGGCGAGAGACTGAGTTTCTTTCAGGCAGACTGTGATGACAGCGACGTTCTGCAAAGGACCTGCTACATGATGATGAATACTTCATGGAAAAAAGACAAGAAATTACCTTATTATCATCTCCATGTGCAAACTCACATGACTTTGCACATGCCTGCACACACACACAGGCACATGCATGCACACACATTCGCATATATATATATATATTGTTTTATATTACCTGTGTCAAGAAAGTTATCCGAAATCCTGCTGCTTCTCCAACACGTGAGTTTCCTTTATTCATAAAGTTTCCCATGGCAAGAATAATCTGTGATTAAATATTTAATTAATTGTAACCCTTTCACCCTGTAAGAATCTTAAAAAATTACTTTTTATCAAATTTTCTTTTAAAAATAAATCTTTTTAATTTCCCAAAACTCCACCTTAGGAAACTAGATGAAGAGAAGAAGAAGCAGAAGAGATCTGGAGTCTTTTTAAGTTTTTATAAATATCCAGGGGGTCGAACCCCTAGATCTCCCTGTGTGAGTTCCAAGGCTCAATGTGGGGGAAAACAAGAACAGACACACTGCCTCCCTAACAAGCATAACGTAGGAGTCGACTAGCGGTGGGTTTCCTTTGTAGTCAGAGTGCATTTGCCTGAGAGGCAAGGAACAACCAACTGCACACAAATAAGCCAGTAAAACGGATGTCAATGCAAAACTTAGGCCCTGCCACGAAGCCAAAGTCCAAATGGACGAACAACCAGAACTTTCCACCGGAGCTTACTTCAGGTGAACAAAGAAGAAGAAAAAGTATCCATAGAATACAGGCAGGCGTGCAGTCCTCTAGTTGCTGAATATCTTAACTGTGAAAAAGTTGCATTTCTATGTAAAGAGAAGTAATCACAAAATACAAATGGGGGAAATATTAACTGATTTCCTTTCCTTTGACCATTTAAAAGTGGCTCTAGTCACTTTACCACAAAGAGCAATGTGATTGAGGTAATAAAGAAATGATATGACATCACTATGAATCCTCAGATTTTAAAAAATCTTTTTTTTTTTTTTTTGTCGACCCCAAACAAAATCTGTAAACAATTTTGGGAGTAAATATAATCTTCTTCTTCTTCGCGTTCACCAGCTATAAACTCTGGCAGAAAGTTATGGTTGTTTATCCACTTCTGGACTGCAGCCCTGTTCTAGAACCTGAGTGTTGGGAGTGCATCCATTTTACAGATTTGACTTATATGCAGACTGCTGGTTCCTTGCCTCTTAGGCAGATGCACTTCGGCTTTGAAGGAAGCTCCCACTTAGTTGACTCTTACGACATGCTTTTGGGTAGGCAGTGGGTCTATTCTTGTTTTTCCCCTATAACAGGGCCCTGGATCCCACACTGGGAAGTAAATATAATCACACCCACCTTGTGTATACAGTGGCAGACAGTACCAAATTATCATAAAAACGTACTGAACACTGTTCAAAGACATCATGTCAACTAAAACCCGTAGAAGCCAGAAACAACTTTCTCAGGGCAAAAGGGTTAATAATGGAACCTTGTATATTATATATTAAGGACATTTTAGGAAAATCTTTTCTGCTGTAGATGGTAAATTTTATTAGTACATTGCTACTCCAAGTCTCTATTACATAATTCCTATCATTATCTATTATGTAGCTGATGTAACTTTGATCAGTCTTTATTATGTCACTACAGGGGCCGATAGGTACAGCAGTGGCAGAAAGTGATAAAATGGACTTCAACTTCAATAATGGGAAGACAGAAGTACTGATAATATTAAGTAAAAGAATAGTGCCTGAATGTATAATTAAAGTCAAAGGCGTTATTTTAGGACAAGTACAGAAATTTACGTTTCTGAGCACTGGAAGATGTATCACAGAGATAAAAATTAGAATAGGACAGGCTTAAACTGCAACTTGAAAAAAACCACACACAAAATAAGAACACTTTATGCAATAAATCCAGGCCATTGGGGTTTGAAAAATAATTCTCGCAAGCTATAGTGTGCTAGTTTTAACATATGGCTGTGAGACCTGGACAATTAATAAAGAAACCAAATAATTTATCGAGGTCTCCGAGACACGCTGTTACAAAATAATCCTTGGAAGTCCTTGGAAAGCCAAAAAGAGCCAACCCATATATTTGGAAACAAGTGAAGGCTCAAAGATAACTTATCATAAACATCAGAAAAAGACAGTCATCATGTTTTGTTGGTTATTCGGAGAAAGAAACTAGATCATATTGTGACCACGGGAAAGATTTGTGGAAAAGAGATAAAAGAAGAGAGATTATTCTTGACACCTAATGTCATCGCATGAAGCGGTAAACTAATACACATTATTGAGGATCAGAGATTGTGGAGAGGCATAATCGCCCATGCCAGTTGGCAAAGTATTTGACGATGATGATTATGTCACTGCTGTAGGTCTTTATTATGTAACTTAATACAGAGGTCTTGAATCTACACAGGTATAATGCAACATCAAATACCTCAAGAATGTGGGCCAGCCTCTTGCTGTTTCTCAGCTCTAGAGATGCAGACCTGACACAATCTAAACTCTGACATAAAAACATTTACAAGTGCAGTCAGAAAATATGACATTGCAAATGACTTATATTGGAAAGAAAAAATGAACACACACAAACACACACATGCCCAAAACACACATGCAGATGTACTTCTTTTTCTTCTTCAGCATTCCGAGCCCTTGAGGTTCATTGCTGCAGATATCACCCGCCTCCATTCATCTCTCTGGTTGGTACATGCAGATGTATACACGCAAAAATTAAAGATAAACAATGGCAGACACTGCTTTCTTATCCTTAGAAAATCTTAGCTGCAAAATCAGGTTGATTATGATTAACTGTTAAGTACTGAGTTGAGTTGAGTTAAGGTGAATTAAAACCTAACATCACACTACTTGAAACATTCACATAAGTGCCCCATCCTTATCTTCAGTAGTCAGTTCCAACTTCGATGGTACAAGTAGCAGTCTGATTGTATGTCGTCCTTGCCTTTTCTCTGAATGTGCAGTGTTGGCCAGATCCCCTGGATAACAACTAAGAGATGAACAAGGAGGTCTCTGGCCCACCTATTTCTGCATTGACCAACAGCCATGTTACCCATAACATTAGAGTAAGGTACCGATGGGGAGTCGGCGTCTGTGGCTTAGGCGTTACGAACGTGTTTTGTAGTGTGGGGTTCGATCCCAGCTGAGGAGGGTTTGTCTTGCATTGGTTTCGATAGTGGTTCAGAGAGCAATAGCAAACTACTGAATGTAAATTTTGCTTAGAAAAAGCACTAAAGAAAAAAACTAAACTGGGGTTGGTTCTGCAACGTATTTGTAAAGGATATGCAGCTAACTAACTGGTGGGGGAAATTGTGTAGAACGGATAGGGCACTGTGAGATTCCAGAGAGTATTCCAAAGCTGGGCATGTTGAGCTAGAGCACAAGCTGTTGCCCATACAGCAGGTACCTCCTCTCCATGTTGCCAGTAATACTGAGGGTAGGGCAAATACCAATACAGCCTGGTACCCAAGACATTTCAGGAATTGCTGGAACAGCTGTGTAAACACTGTTGAACCACCTTAAGGATTCCAGCTCCTGAATTTTGTTCAGGGTTTACCTCTGAAGCTCTTTCTCTAAACAGACAATTGCCACAACGCAAAGTACTGTTAACTAAAAAAAGGCAACATTTAAGGACATGGGAGTTCTGCATGAGGGACAATCAATGGGCAAATTCAAAATAAGAAGAGGAGCGTGGCAGGGGTGTCCTTATTTTTCCTAATGATAGAGTGTCTCCATGGCCAAATGGTTACATCATTTGCCATATGCTCTGAAAGGTCTGGTTTCTTTCACTGACTTTATCGTTCAGTTCATAAGTGCAATTTTTTTGATGTCCCTGAAGATCATAATTGGAGCTACAGAGTTTGTGTTTTGTGTGATGCACTCATCAGGTGGCTAGCTTTTTTGTATACATATTCATATATGTATATGTATATGTATATATATATATATATATATATATATATATATATATATATATATATATATATATATAGAGAGAGAGAGAGAGAGAGAGATATATAGAGACCCAGATGGGATAAAAACCCAGGTAATATATATATTTTTAGTGTTAATATATTATATTCATCCCATATATACCATATATCTACTGGTAATATTATATGAAATGCCTTTTCTATTTATATATATAACTATATATATATATATATATATATATATATATATATATAGAGAGAGAACCCCTCGAGAGAGAAAAAAATTAGCCTTCAGAGAGATAGAAAGAGAGAGAGACCCAGATAGGAAGGTCATGGGTCAGGACCTGATGGAGCCAGACTTTTTCTCAAAGATGACCTTGGCTCCCATTCTGACCTAGGGGGGTGTAAAACCTCCTCTCAAGAGTAGGAATGAATCGTCCATGTATTAAGGCAGCATTATATTCAAAATTGGGGGACAGATAATAGAGATTTTTAATTAAAAATAAAAAGGGCAAGTAAAGTTTTTAAGGCACTAGGAATTTTGTGGCAGCAAAACAAAATTCACATAGCAACAAATTAGTCTATTTAACTCTAATATCACATAAGTGCTTCTGCAATGATCAGAAACACTGAGCGACAAAAAATCAGACACACAAACACACTCATACCAACTGACATATGCATACATTCTCAACAGATTCATTCATTGACTCATTGTCCTGTTGTGATATTACGTGTCACACAGGGCTGGCAGGCTATCCCTCCAATCTGTTTTATCCTATGCAATCAATTCAATATCATGGATGAAATCCTGGCCAGCACTTTTGGCTTTTTGTCCCCTCTCATCATTATTCATGTTATGGATTTTTAGGGCATCCTCGCTTCCCCAATCTCTTTATTTCCCATTTTAATGCCTCCTTGGTGATTCTCTGCTCGTTTCTTTTCATAATTTGTCTAATGTAGCTCCATCTTGTCATAAAACTGTTGTTACCAATGGTTGCCCAGACATTTCTCTTATTTCCTCTCTTGAATTCATCCCATTTTATGCAAGGCATTTTCCTCAGGCATTTGTTTTCAACTTTCATTCAGTCTTTAGTAGTTTTCCAACTTTTCCTGGCAGATGTTACAAGTGAAATAACATCTTAACAGATTAAAGACAGCCAACATTTTTTTTTTATAATGCACCAAAGATCATTATAACAAATATGTTCTGTAACATTTCATGATACAATTCTTTGCTTTAAAGTCATTTAAAACTTACTTTTCTGAGTTCTTCAACTCTCTCTCTAAAACTTGCTTTAAACTTCAGTGCTCTCAGCCGTTCTTCATAGTCTTTGACTAAACTCATCTGCAATAAATCAGTCTGATCAACATTTAACTGTGTTCAGGAGGAAAAAACGTATAAAACTGTTGTTTGCAGTAAATAAAATGATAAAAAAAAATTTAAAAATTCCAGCCACAAGAGTTAAACATAAAACATTTATCAGGTCAAAATTTGATATGCATCTATTCTGGCATGGGTTAACAAACAGAACAGTAGTTGTAAATGTATATAAGGTATATTAGCAGGATAGGCAAAATTAAATAAAGCAATTGTATGAAACCATAGCAGCTTTGGGAGCCAGACGTTTTTTTTTTTCAAAACTGACCTTAGCCCTCCACCCAGCCTTGAGTGGGTACCAGGTGCAGTCCTGGTAAGTAAAATTGGCCGGTGTGATGCTGACCACATCACTCACCATGTGCCGTTTGGTTTATAAAATATAGGTCTAGCCCTATATACCCAATATGCCTGAAGGCGAAGAAAAGGGTCCTTTACTTTATTTACCGTAGCTTTGAAGTAAGCAAATGCATTTAACAATTTCATCCTCCTGGGGGATTGTGGGGAGGAATAATTTTCGATCCAGTGCACGCTGTCTCTCATGCAGTGAAGGCGTAAACTGTCTTTAATGTTGTCGATTCCTTTTTTAGGGCTGCCCTCTTGCTCTCATAGCTGATCTTCTGAGATGTAGGGCCTGTGATGGTATTTTATGTTGCAGCATTCTAAAGAGATGGCCAAATCACTTGATTTGCTGTTTCTCAATAAAACTAGTACAAGGTGTTTTATCATTATTCACTTGATCTCGGCTGGTTAGGATTGGTGGTTTTTTCCTCAATTATAGCTGAAACTGATTGCAGTATGTTGAACATAGTCGATTTTGTTGTTTTGTTTTCATAAACAGATGGATGGATTGAAGGCTGATCAGTCTTCACACAGTTACCCTGCATGGGTTCTGCAGGGCAATACCTGTAGATAAGGAGACAAAGAGAGCATTACACAAATGAGGCTATGTCATGTTCCATGAATTCAGCCGGGAAGGCTAACCTGGGGAACAAATGACAGACAAATGGGGGTACAACCTGGTGCATGTTTACACTGCTGCTGACTTTCTTGTCATAAAAAACAATCAATCACAAAGATTAATGGAGGTGGGTGACATCTGCAGCAATGAAACTTAATGGTTCAGAATGCTAAAGAAAAAAGAAAAGGAAGGTAAAGATTAAAATCTTGATACTTTAATGTATAAAACTTTTGGGACAGAAACTGTTAAGCAATAGCTGTATGGGATGGAAAGAGTTAATGTGAGAAAATTACATACCTGGAATGCAAACTGATCAGGCTTTGTTAGAAGTGACAGGTCTCCACTGTACTGTCTATACTGGGATATCTGAATTTAAAAAAAACATTTGAAAACTGTTATCATCATCATCAAGTTTATCAGTCGAAAGACTGGGACTGATCAAGTTTATGATCATGCCAAGCCAAACCTCTACAGATCATCATCATCAACAGGTTTGTCAGTCTGAAGTGATATGATCATATCACACCGATGTTCCCCATTCATATGATTACTATCATTATCATAACCACCACATCACATGTACACAAAATTCAAGATAGATGTATCAGCCATGTGCACCTTTGGAAATGTGCCCCAGACAGCAGAGCATGTACTCCAGGACTGCACCGATTTTGACACATTAAGGCAAACTTTTTGGCCAGAAAGAACAACAGTGGAACGTAAACTCTATGGACCACTGAATGAACTAACAACGACAGTGAAATTTATACAAGAGACAAAACTGCTGATATAGACAACTTTTTTCAGGCGAACGAAAGAAGAAGAAGAAGATAACCACCACATCATGTCAGTCATTCTGAAGCCTGTGTCAAAGTCATCTGATCATGTCATTTCACTACTCCTTGTTTTCATAATCATCATGACACAAGCTAGGGGATACTTCTTATCCTTGTAGTCACTACTATCTCAACAGTAAAGTCTTTTGCCAAGTGTCTGACTTGGAAAGTCAAAACAATGCTGCCACCTGGTGCTGAAACATCTGCAGGTGTCACAGAACTAAAACTCTCTGACAGGTAAACTGCCTACTTGCTGCAAAATAGTCACAGAGTTTTCTTATTCTGCATTCGACCTTGACTGAACACTGCGGTTTACAGTAAGGCTGTGATATCTGCATCTTTTGGACTAGCACATCTGATTTCAGCAAATCCTTAACTGGCCACCATTTACAACTGCTTGTGGAGTAGGTCTAACCCCACCACCCCTTTTTTTGTTCCATATTTATAGAACTAGCTGTACCCAGCCACACGTTGCTGTGGCCCAAAATGGTGAAATGGAGAGGAAAGAAAATAGCTCTCAGCTAACAGTGTCTGTCATACACCCCCCCCCCCCCCTCCCCTCGACCCAGTCATATCTCCCTCTCCGAAGGATTGAAAAATCATCCATGGCGAAATTAGTAAAATAGAAATAGTTAAGAAATAATAACTTTAAAACAATATGTTAAGCTCTTTCAGCTAACTATGTCTGGCATAAGCCCCACCCCATGTCCACCAATCATATATCCCTCTCCGTAGGATTGAAAAATCATCCATAGCGAAATTATTAAAATAGAAATAGTTAAGAAAAGAGAACATTAAAATAATATTTTCAGCTCTCTCAGCTAACTGTCTCTGGCACAATCCCCTTCCCCTCCCCCCACCCCCCCAATCATATCTCCCTCTCCGAAAGAGTGAAAAATCATCACCTGCCAAAGTCATATCTCCCTCTCCGAAGGATTGAAAAATCATCCATGGCGAAATTATTAAAATAGAAATAGTTAAGGAGTGAGAGCTTTAAAATAATATCTTAAGCTCTCTCAGCTAACAGTGTCTGTCATCCCCCCCCCCCCCCCCACCTCGACGCAGTGATATCTCCCTCTTCGAAGGATTGAAAAAATAATCCATGGCGAAATTAGTAAAATATAAATAGTTAAGAAATTAGAAAGTAAAAATAATATTTGTAGCTCTCTCAGCTAACTGTGTTTGGCATAACCCCCCCCCCCCCTTTTCCACCAATGATATCTCCCTCTCCGTAGGATTGAAAAATTATCACCTGCCAATATTTTTCAAATAGAAAAAGTTAAAAAAGAGAACATTAAAATAATATTTTAGGCTCTCTCAGCTAACTGTGTCTGGCATACCCCCCCCCCCCCCCCTCCCAATCATATCTCCCTCTCCAAAAGATTGAAAAATCATCACCTTGCGAAGTCATATTTCCCTCTCCGAAAGACTGAAAAATCATCCATGGTGAAATGATTAAAATAGAAATAGTTAAGAAATGAGAACCTAAAAATAATATTTTTAGCTCTCTCAGCTAACTGTGTTTGGCATAACCCCCCCCCCCCCCCCACCCCCCAAATATATCTCCCTCTCAGTAGGATTGAAAAATCATCACCTGGCGATATTAAAATAAAAAGTTAAGAAAAAAGAACATTAAAATAATATTTTAGCTCTCTCAGCTAACTGTGTCTGACATAAACCCCCCCCCCCCCCCCCAGTTATATTTCCATCTCCGAAAGACTGAAAATCATCACCTTGCCAAGTCATATCTCCTTCTCCGAAGGACTGAAAAATCATCCATTGCGAAATTAATAAAATAGAAATAGTTAAGAAATGAGAACTTTAAAATAATATTTTAAGCTCTCTCAGCTAACTGTGTCTGGCATAACACCCCCCCCCCCCCTCCCCCTTTCATATTTCCCTCTCCGAAGGATTTAAAAATCATCACCTGGCTAAATTATTAAAATATAAATAGCTAAGAAATAAGAACGTCAAAAAAAACATTTTAAGCTCTCTCAGCTAACTGTGTCTGACATAACCCCCTCCCCCAATCATATCATCCTCTCCAAAGAATGGGAAAGTCACAGTGTGATGAAATATTGTAACTAAATTGAGCTTGGCATCCGTGTCCACCCAGACTTAAATAGGTAGCATTAACTTGTAGAGAGAAGTAAATGTAGCCAGTGTAACAGCTACCACATCACCCATCCAGTACCAGTACTACTGCAACCACTACCACCACCACCACAACAACAACAACAACTGTCACTGTCACTACAGTCTGTGTAGGTTGGTGTAGAAAAGAGGAGTTAGCGCCGCATGCTATCGCCATGGACTATTTAGTTTAATGTTGCCCCCCCCGACATAGAAATAAAAAAAAAAACTTCATCACGTAACCAATGATGGAACCCACAGTGAAAAGTACACTATACTCACGAATAGCAGAGAAAAATACCCCGTACCCGTCATCTCTCCCTCTCCAAAGGAGCGATTTTTAACTGACCTTGGCGTCTGTGTCCACCCAAACTAATCTGGACTGTAAGCTGTCTTAGGTAACAGTTTCTATCATCGCCGAATAGTTTTTGATTGAGAAGCGTCGCGGGGAGGCTAATTGTGACTTAACTTAAATCGGATGTCTTTGGGCGAAAGGTGCAGATATCACAGCCTAGCTGTAACCCACGACACAACGTGGCAACCACTCTTTTAAGGGAAAAAGAACAATTATCACCCAGTGGGGAATCGAACACCGGTCACCCGCGTGAATGATGGAATACTTAAAACTATACTACCAAAGACTGAAGAGTTTAGGTCAGATATCGCAGCCTAGCTATAAACCACAACACAACGTGCCAACGGCCCTCTCAAGGGCGAACAAAGAATACCCGTGACATGACCATTGAGCATCACGTCGCCGCTGTCGCAGGCTAGCTGTAAACCCCAAAACCGAAAAAGGCGTAGATATCGCAGCCTAGCCATAAACCACAACACAACGTGCCAGCCGCCCAGTTAGAAGCTAAAAAAAAACCACATTATTTCACCTAGCAGGGAATCGAACGTGGGTCACCCACATGATAAGCAGAATAGTTACCAACTACGCTATCAAACACTCGAACAGATAGTGGAAATGAGATAATATAATTATATAATAATGCAAAGTTCAATAAAAGCTCAGCAGCCAAAAATAGCCAATCAACTAAAAAGAAATCAGGGCCGGCAACGAAACAAATAATGATTTGACCGTCGCTGGAGCTACATCGTTCGTGGTTTGTGAGATTTTCTGAAAAAAAAATCACTCTTGGAGTCGAAGGCAACGTTGTGTGCAAATTTGAAAGCAATCGGTTCAGTAGTTTCCGAGTTTAGGGATTACAACATCGGAAAATTAAGATTTTAATTAAATTTAGATAGGGCTCCAGAGGGAGAAAAAAATTAAGATGATCTCTTAGTACATGCTGCTGTAGGTCTTGGAGTGACAGAGCTTCATATACTTTAAGCTATTGCATTAGGAGATACTTAAACAACTCCTTTCTTCACAATCTTTCTTCATATGGAAACTTCTAGTGCCCATTTTACAGGACTGGGTTGACCTTCAAGCTGTATTCATGAGAAAAGAATTTATGGGACGAATACAGAACACAGAGGAGTCACTGTGGTGTAGCAGTTAGATGCTTGCCTGTGGATCTGAAAGTCATGGGTTAAAATCTGATTAGAGCTGGCCTTTTTTTTACACACACACACACACAAAAAAAGACCCCCAGGTCAACCTAACCTTAAATGGGTTAGAGATAAAAGTCCTGGAAAGTGAAGACTCCCATCGAGATGTTGACAACATCACCAATCAAATGCTCATAGGTCTATAAAATTTAGGTGCAGTACTAAATGACCAATACGTCCGAAGGTGTGGAAAAGAGTCGTTCATTTTACTTTTAAAGAACACAGAAGAGAGCTGCAGTAGCACAGTGGTTAATCCTTTGCTACCACCCAGAAGGTCTGGGTTTGAATCTTCATGTAGACAAATTTGTATAACTGACCTGGGCTCCCAGGATGACATAGCCAAAAATGGGTAGCAAGAAATGTTTCTAAATATAAATTTGCCTGCATTGACCATGTCACCTGTTGGGTACTGAATAGTCTATAATTACAATTTCACCCAACCCGCATGCCAAACTATCACCTATCAAAGAAAGTATTTTATGGTGAGCTCCAGCAAGGGAAGAGGTCCCAGGGAGGACAGAAAAAGTGCTATAGGACACTCTGAAGACTGTTCTCAATTCTTTTGGCATCAACACAGCGACGTGGGAGGCTCCTACACAAGACCACTCTGGATGGCGTATGTCTCTCAGGCCTTGTGCATCGGCCTGCCAGGCAGCGGAGGTTGCACAAGCAGAGAAACGGAGGTACACTAGAAAGAATCGTACTGCTAAACTCACACTTACTGCGGCTTCCATCTGTTGTCCGCACTGCTCAAGAACTTTCCTGGCTCATACTGGACTAATCAGCCATCTTCGTACTCATAATCATTGATCATTTACTACTTTGGATGAAAGTGATCTTTATCACTCGTGATGGACGAACAACATAATTACAATAACATAAGTCTAACACAATTAATACACCCAGTGTACCAAATGTGGTAAATCTTTTTGTTTTTTTTTTGTTTTTAATAAACTTTTTAATGTACATATTTTTTCCTTTAATTATATTCTACCAAGTTTGCAACTTATATAATCTTCTTTTTTAATTTTTTATTTTTGTTCATGGGCTGTATACTTTGGTGGGAAGTTCTGGCTGTTCATCCACTGCTGGACTTTGGTCTTGTCCCAGAACATGAGTTCTGCATGCACATACATTTTACAGATCTGGCTTATTCATATGCAGACTGTTGGTTCCTTGCATCTCAGGCAGATGCACTACGACTTCAAAGAAAGTGACCCTAATTAGTAAGCTTTTAGACCTTGCTTGTTGGGGGAGGTGGGGGAGGGAAGGGATGGGTGGGGTGGGGGATGGGAACAGTGGGTCTATCCAACCTCTCCCTTTTCTCCAAAATGGGGAGCAACTAATATCAACAGTAACAACATTATCAACCACATTATGAACAACATTATCAACAGCATTGTCAAAAGCATTATCAACAACATTATCAATATATTGACATTAAAAGATTTAAGGACAAGCACAGAAATGTAAGTATTTATGCATGGATATCATCACGTGCAAAATATATCACAAGCATTAAGAACTCAATATGGGCAGGCAAAAAACTGCATTTAAAAAAAAATTAAGAATATCTTATGTAAGTTATATATGCCACAGCAGCATAGAAATATAAATCTGTTATGATATATAAAACAAGTTTTAACACATGGCTGCAAATCCTGGACAATTAGTAAACAAGCCAAACAATTTACTGAGACCTCAAAAAATGTGGTTTAAAAACAAAATGTTTAAAATTTCTTGGAGAGGTAGAATGAATCATCCTGATGCTTTGACTAAGGTGACTGTCTGAAGACAACGTATCACAAATATTCTAAAGCAGTGGTTATCAACCTTATTATTGCGGCAACCCTTTAAAACAGATCCTCATGTTGCAGTTACCCCCAAACAAACAATTATTTTCGTTGCTGCTTCATAACTTCAGTGAATATGTGTTTTCTGATGGTCTTAGGCGACCCCTGTGAACTGACTGACTGACTTTCTACCCCACCAGGACATCACACAAGCGACAAACACCCGATGACACAAAGCGCCACCATGTGGATGAGGATCGCCGTGGAGAGGTCCCAGAAACCGCATTCAGACATTTGGCCATATTTATGGCCTGCCTATATTGCGGCTCCTGGCAAAAGCCAGGGCGGGGCTTCAAATAACAAAAAATGTCGTCCTAAAAAGGACGAAATTGAATAGTAACATTAGACCCCTGTGAAAGGATCATTCGACTTTTAAAGGGGTCATGACTCACAGGTTAAGAACTGCTGTCCTAAAGAGACATTCCTAATTTTTGTGGCTGTGTTATGAGATGAAAGAAACTGCAACATTATGCGATGACTGCAAAGATTTGTCACAACATGAGATGAAAACAACACAAAAAGATACTTGACCGCTATTTGTCATGGAAAGGTGTTGTCACACCAATCGATACATGCTGTTCCCCCTGTAAGTTACAGGGCCCCATTTTGGGGGTAAAAAAGAACACACCCTCTGACCCTTCCCCCTAAACAAGCATGTTGCCTAAGACAACTTATTAGGGACACTTCCTTCGTAACTCAGAGTGCAAGTGCCTGAAAGGCAAAAAAATCCAGTCTTTAGATAAAACAAGCCAGATCTGTAAAAAACAAATGTGCATGCAAAACTCAAGTTATGGAACAAGACTGAGGTCCAGAAGTGGATAAACAACCAAAACTTTCTGCCAGACTTTACATGTAGAGAAGACAAGGAAGAAGAAGAAGAAGATAAGGAAAAAGAAGCAGAAGAAGAAGAAGCTACATGCTGTTGGAGATCGCAAGTTGTGGAGAGGCATGTCGACAAGGCACCTGATGATGACAACCTTTTGTAATGCAAAGTATTTATTTTATTGTAGGCACTAACAAGTAAGTTGTTTAAACAAAAATGTCAACAAATCAAAGAGCTATAGCAGATTTACAAGGTCCCTGCAGCTTATAATGCTAGTTATTTACCTCATGCTCATTAGGAACAAATGACAGGAGTTGTCCTAAAAGATCCGGTGATAATGTTTTCTCATCCATGCTGTACAAGGCCTTTTTAATGTCTGCGACTGACATCTTTAGATGGCCAAGAAGGATTGCTGTAAAAAGTAATGGTTTTATAAAGTAACTATCTACCATCTATAATTACTTTTCAATAATGGCTGCATAGTTACCTTGTTTTGAAAAAAAAAAATTTTTTAGTACCAGGCAACACAGGAAGCTGTCATGGTGTAGTGGCTAAATGCTCGTCTGCAGATCAGAAGATCATGGCTTCCCCCCTTCAGTGGGAAAAGTTACGGAGCTTCCTGTGTCCTGGTTCATCCAAACACTGCCTGCCAGAAATCAGAGCTTGTGGGAGTTTTCCTTCTTCGCCTTTGATTAACCAGGGTGGGCTCCCTGGGTGTGACCATGGTGGGGATCAGGACATGTCTGTCCATGTGCCGGTGGGCCAAGCTTAGGCAACACCTTACGGGAAGTCACACTCGTCTGAGGGCTTCTGTCTGGCTCCTCCCTTAGCCTGGTATTTTACCCCTTCAGGCATTGGGGGTCCATTTTGTTAGTGATGGAGACTTGTTATGCGCCAGAGCCGTGTCTGTTACAACAGGCAGCACCACATATGGGCATGATTTACTTGATTGGCAGAGACTTTGAGTTCCCCGCAGGCGTTTCCCATTTTTTAGGTGGGAACTGTACATACCAATCCTTGCTACCAAATGGATATTCTGATAATATACTTACATATATTGTAAGCCTTCTTTTTATCCATGATGAGTATTTCATTCTTGTTGTCAGCATCTCCTGAGAATAAAAAGCAGAGATGAGCTGAGAAAAATGTTGCTACTGGTGTGTCAAGTACTTCTTTTTCTTTTTCATTTGTCCTTAAAATGACTGTTGGCACGTTGTGGTTTACAGCCAGGCTGCAACAGTCATGCCTTTTGGCCTAACACATCTGATTTTAACAAACGCCTAATTAGTCACATTTTACAAAATATTTGTTGGGGGTGGAGGCGCTGAGTTTATTCTCCCCCAGGAAAAATAGGGCAGGAACCCACAGGGGGAATTTGTCATGCACAATATGAACCAGGGAGCCACCATGGCATAGAAGCTAGAAGCCAGCCTCAGGCCCGAGGTTGTGGGTTCAAAGCGACATGGAGTCGGATATTTTTCAAAACTGACCTTGGCAAGTGAAGGTTGCTGCCATTATATTGACCACATCACCCAAGTATCAGCTGGTCTGGTTTATGGTTTATACAACGGATCAACATCATGGTACAAGGATTCATTCATCATTCATTCATTCAGTGGCATGTCCCTCGCGGAACCTCGCTGCCATAACAACCCTCCGGAAAACCTTCCTATCATGAGCAAGATGTCCTGCGTCTGATACACCCATCTGGAGATCATCTGCCACATCCTGCACCCATCTTTTCCTTGGCCTTCCTCTTCCTCTCTTCCCAGGCATATACCCCTCCATTATTGTTCTCTCTAGACTTCCATGACGTTTCAAGTGACCAAATTTTCAATTTTCTTTGTTTTTATTGTCTTTACTAGCCAACCCTCTTCAATATTCAGCTCTTGAAGAATGGATGCATTTGTTCTTTTCTTTACCCAAGATATTCTTAGAACCTGTCTGTAACATTTATATTCAAATGCATTTATGCGCTGTTCCGCTTGTTTAGTAAGTGTCCAGGTCTCACAGGCGTATGTTGCAATGGGAAAGATGCATGCTCTTAAAAATCTTACCTTTGTAATTCTATCTGTACAATTCCATAATTTATTCAGTTGTTTTAGTCTTTGAAGAGCAATTGATAGTCGCCGTTTAATTTCTTTCATTGTGTCACCATTGTTGGTAACCAGTGACCCAAGATATTCGAAATTTTCCACCACTTCCAATCTTTCCTTATTAACATATATTTCCTTCTCCATGGCAGTTTTGTTTGTATGCATTATCTTTGTTTTTGCTATGTTAAGAAATAAGTTATGATTTTCACTATTTCTTTGGAGTGAGGTTAATAAGTTTTCTAAACCACTTTGTGATGTTGATAGTAATACTGTATCATCAGCATAACGAATTTCTGGTATTTCATGAAGTATTAGGTACAAGGATAGTAACCCATAAGTACTCCGTTCAACTTCTAACTCAAGCCTGAGTCCGAAGAATTTCAGTGCAGTGCTTAAAGTCTGTAGCACCAGTGAGGAGCCTCAAATACTGTGGTAGATTTTTAACACCAAATTTTGCCCTGGTAGCGCCATTAGGCTGCTCTTTTCAATTTCCAACTGCCATATTTACATATTTACATATTACATTTACATATTGAACAATATACATGGGCATCCGATCTTACTACCCAGAGATTAGGGGAAATTACTAAAAGTCAATGTAAAAAAATCCCAGCATTCACCGGGGCCTGATCCCTGGACCTCTAGCACTCAAGATGGACGCCATACCTCGCGACCACTCAGTCCACGATGGTCTATAAAATACAGATCTAGCACTATATACCCAATATGCTCAAGGGTATGAGAAAGGATTCTTTACTTTTACTGTTTATAATATCAACGAAATATGCAAAATATACCAGGCAGTAAATTTTGCAATCTATTGCTTGTGTCTTACATGTTCAAATACACAGATTTTCACATTTAAGTAAAAGTCATGGTTTCAATTTCACTGCAATCAGGTCACCCCCATACTTGCTTTGTTCCCATGGCAGTGAAAATCAAATGAAATGTTCCTTACTGTCCCATTTGAAAAACTGGTGAACAAACAATTATACAGGCACAATCCAGAAATCTGTGCACGCAGTAAATGCATATAGCAGTTGCTAGAGGCACCAAAGCCAACAGTTACCACCAGAAATGCAGTTTGTCATCGATGGAAACTCAGTCACAGTAAGGTGGCAATACACACGTAAAATTATTACACAAAGTTTTTTACCAGCCCACACGTAAGCCGACTAAAAACCTTTTGATGAATACCACAACACAACCGCTGCACAAATAAAAGGCATTCTACATCAAAAACACTGCTCACAGGGCTGCACCAAGTACTAAACTCAGTAGCTCTTCTTCTTCCCCTCTTCTTCTTCAGCATTCAGAGCACTTGAGGTTCACTGCTGCAGATATCACCGGCCTCATTCGTCTCTCTGGTTGGCCTACTCTTTCCAGTTGGTGACACCAAGTGTTTGCAGGTCTGTCTGGATATTATCTCTCCATCATCTTCTTGGTCTGCCTCGTGGTCTATGACCATTCAGCTCTCTTGTCCATACAGTTTTCACTTCTCTGTCATCTGACATTCTCTCAATATGCCCCAACCATTTCAGTCTATTAGCTCTCATGATGTCAGTGATCAATGGAGATTTAAACAAATTAGGAATTTTGTTATTGCTTCTCACTCTCCATTCCCCGCTGTTTGCATCTTTGATGGGTCTTAAAAATTTGCAGTAAGACTCTGTTTTTGAAAATTTATAATAAGGCTTTATCTCTTTTAGTTGTGCTCCAAATTATCAGAGCCATATAAAAGGTCTGGTCTTATGAACATTTTATATATTTTGATCTTGGTGTTGCGAGATAGAGACTTTGACTTTAGCAAATGTTGAAGGGCATAGTATACTTTATTTCCAGATTGTATTCTAGATTGTATTTCTTCTATCAGCATGTAAGAGTAGTTGAAGTTTGCACCCAAGTACTTATTTGTTTCCGTTCATTTGATTTTCATATTATCGACTTGTATGTGGCCGGAATTTATATCCTTTCCCTGTCTTGTTATTATCAAGTATTCTGTCTTATCTTGACTGATAACCAGTCCCATTTTGTGAGCTGTTTCCTTTAAGACAGTCAATGTTTTTTACAATCACTTTCTTCAACGATATAAGTATCATCTGCAGAACCAAGAATTCTTGTAGTTTCTCCTATTGTACACTCTGTTTCAATTTCCTTATAATTTTGCTCAGGGGCTAAGTTGAAAAGAAGTGGGGACAGAGCATCACCTTGCTTTAAACCAGATATTATTTGAAAAGGGTCTGACTTTCTGTCTTTATATGTTACTACATTATAAGTGTCTCCCATTCATAGTTTGGTCATGGTAATTAATTTCTTTGGTATTTTAAAGTCCTTCATAGCATTCCATAAACTGTTTCTAGGTACACTATCATACGCCTTTTTATAATCCACAAAAAACATTATGTACATCTTTTCTATGTTTCCAATTTTGCTCTGCTATTTTCCGCAAAATGAATATCTGATCTATTGTTGATTTGTTCTGTCGGAAGCCTGCTTGGTAATCTCCCAATATGTCTACGACGTATGGTTTTGGCATGTTTAGAAGTACCACCGATAGTATCTTATAGTTTGTAGATAATAGTGATATTCCTCTATAATTTTTACATTTATACTTGTCTCCTTTCTTAAAAATGGGCATTAATAATGCCACTTTCCACTCATAGGGTAATTTCTCTGTCTTCCAAACTTGTTTAATAATTCATGTATCTTTAAATGTAATGCATGACCACCTTCTTTTATAAGTGCAGCAAATGTCTTCCTCTAATGGATTTTGAGAAATTTCAATTTTATTTTTTAATCCATCTGCAATTTCTCTGATATGGATGTTTCTTGTAATTTTTCTCTATTGTACTCTGGATGTGATTTTTGCAACTAGGTGTAGAAGGATCTCCTTAGCTTCATTTTTAATTTTGCACCAACCAGGTAGTGGTTACTATGACACTCAGCTCCTCTGTAGCTTCAGCTCTTCTGTAACTTCTAACTTGCTGTATATTCAAATTATTTCTATTAATTATTAAAATGTGATCTGATTTTAGTTATCTTGTCACATGACTTCCAGGTTTGTTTATGTATCTTTTCTTTGAAATCTGGTGCTGCTTATCTGTAGTCCTTTGGCTACTGCGAGGTTGATTAATCTCCATCCATTATCGTTTGAAATTGTATGAAGGGTTTCCATGCCTACTAAATTTTTCGCTCAGGTAGTGAAAATTTCACCTATAAATTATGTGGCAGTGATAATTTTATAATGATTACAAGAAAGCTGCTTATCCTTTACAGGATGTTGCAGAACCAATCTCAGCATTTTTGGCTGCTTTGTTTCTCCATGAAAATTTTACATTTAGTAGTTTGCCACTGCTTACTGAATGGTTGACTCTTGATTCCACTGTTGAAACCAACACCAAATCGCCTGCAGCTAGGATCAAACCCAACACCCTGGCATTACAAAGTGCATTTGCAACATCTAAGCCACACACGCTGACTTAACAATGATCACTTTACACTTAAATAAGAATTTGGAAGCACAGCATGGAAATGGATCAGATTTAACTAAATATTAAAAAAAACTGGTGTAAGATTTCTAGAAACCGAGAGATCAAATGAGACTGCACTTACAGTGAAGAACCTGTTATGTTCATGAACAAAATGACTTACTGTGGTAAACTGGTTTTGTACTAAACTGTGTTTCCAGTTCCAAAAATTGAATCACTTCGCTGAAATCATGGTCACTCATCTGAAATAATGCAGCATCATTTGACACATCTGAATTGTTTATGGTATTTGTTATTCTCATTCATGATTTCAAAGGGTATTTGACTGCTTCATACACAGATTACCATTTTCTGTTTCATGTAAAAATATTTTGTAAATGCAACATGTAAAATACCCTTCCCCCCCTCCCATACACACACAAACAAGCAATAGCTATCAACAGAAACTTAAAGGGCCCTTTTTATGCCAGTAGTGCATCAGACACATGATGTAAAAAAAAAAAAGGAAAGGACCCTTTTCCACGCCTTTGGGCTTATTGGATATATAGGGCTAGACCTATATTTTATAGACCAATTGGCACATGTTGGTTGATGTGGTCAGCATCACGCCAGCCACCTTTACTTCCCAGGACTCCATCTGGTAACCACTCAAGGCTAGGTCAACCTGGAAGCCAAAGTCGTTTCTGAAAAAAGTCCAGCTCCGCCAGGAGGACATATGATGCTAGAATCATAATTGTATAGACCAGTGGTCCCCTAACTGTACGCCGCAGCACCCCGGGGAGCCACGACCTCTTCACAGAAGCGCCGCAAATTATTGTAAAAGCTTCATAAATACATCATACTTTTACTTAGGTTAAGGTGTCATGGAGAAATTTTAATTGAAAAAGGAGCTGCAACTAAGAAAAGTTTTCGAAACACTTTTATAGACCCATCAGCTAAGCCTTCTGATGTAGCAGCTAGGCTAAGGTACTTCTAAAGCCCAATGGTAAAGTCTATAATACTGTTTATGAATCAGCTGATGGAAACAGCTCCTGTATACCAATGTCTTTCTTTGGCACTGTTGCTGAAGTGTAGATGAGCAAGAGGTAGAAAGTGAATCAAGTGGGAAGATAATATTCAGAGATGGACAAGCAACTGACAGGGTGTATAACCCAGGAAAGACAGAGAGGGGGAGGGAGGGAGGGAGGGGGAGGGAGGGAGAGAGAGGGAGGGAGAGAGAGAGGAAGGGAGGGAGGGAGGGGCAATGCTGAACATCTACTGCAGCCAACCTCCATTCTGGAGACGGCAAATGAATGAATGAATGCTTAATATCAAATGAACACTAATATAGAATAAAGCGCACTGTGTGAAGAGTTCCTCGTGTGAGCTCCAGAGGTGCCATTTAGGAAAGAGGGGAAGAGAAGAGACTCATCCCCCCTCCCCTTCCTCTTTAACAAGCATATTTTAAAAGGTGACCAGGGTTTTGCAAAAATCTTATGGCTTGGGCCAAAAGATGTAAATATCACAGCCTAGCTGTAAAACACAACATAATATGCCAGCAACCCATGTAAGGGCAAAAATAAATGAAGACAGAAGTACGATGAGTCTAATAAAAAATCCATTCATACAGATTATGTAGAACAGCAGGTTTTTTCCCCAGCTTCTCTCACTGTCTCAATAAAACGTAGACAGTAAGGGTACATTTTACTCCAGGAGTAGAGCAGAGATTCAGGAGTTCAGTTTATGTGGCTTTATAAGTGTAAATCCCTTGATACTAGACATGTAAGGAATACATGTTTTAACAAGAACACCACAATGTAAAATCAGTTTATCATAAAATCAAAATAATTACAGATGTAACTGCACATTTTCAAATTCAATTTGTAAAAAAAAAAAAAAAAAGTGTGGAGAAATGGTGATAATAGCACAAGACAAAAATGAAACAAAAAAACCTTTCCCAAATTGGTATTTTGGACACTTTTATTATCTAGCTATTTTTCCCAGTTAATATTCGTTTAACATTCAGTACTCTTGTCCAGGTTTTCTTGGGTTCCTGCAATAGAGATATCAGTAAACAGTGCAAAGTCGATATTACCTCACTTTCTGTAAATGTAAATATTATAAAGTATAGATATCAGTGGTAAAGAATGATTGAAAACTATTTACCACTGATATATTTTTTTGTCAGTTTAGGTGTTTTGTGTGTGCATACAGACATACTCCCGTTAACTAGTTTAGTTGAGGGGTGGAACATGATTAATGGGCTTTAGATGTAGATAACAGTAGCAAATAACACTGAAATAAGCAGCGATGGATACAAAAGCAATGAATGCAGGTGGACGTCAATGACTGGAGGAAAACTCTATAAAATACTTTAAAAAACTCGTGTGACATTGCCATGAGCAAGTAAGGGACACAACCTTTCGTTTCATGCTGCCTTTCACTATCTGTGTGTCTCAGTGAAAACGACTGACAGAAGGTAGAGAGGAAGGATCAGTCAACAGCAACTAGTGGCCCGAGTGACGATGTGATATGAGGACTTTGATGATCTACAATGGTTTTTTTTTTTTTTTTTTTTACCAAAATTGTTCCGTCTTCTGCAGAATTCTGAAATTTAAAGTTTGACAGTTTTGAAACAAACGGGCTCAACATCATGGCACACAGGTAGGCAACCATGTGCTCCTATTTCTTCTAATCAAGTCTAAGTCCAAAAAAGCTCAGCACAGGCACTGTAAGCATGGTTGAGGATACTGAAATAACTTAGGGTAGATTTCTTAACTCCAAATTATGCCAGGCGCCCTTTAGGCTACTCTTTTTTTATTTCCACCTGCCAAGGGGTAAAAAATTTTGTTATGTGCGCAACAACTGCACCGCGGCGTCCGATCTCCACGATCCAGAGACCCAGGGGGAATTAAAAAAACTAGAAGTCCAAGTCACAGGTGCCTCGAGACCACGCATCACCATACTCTACCAGGATTAATGTAGAGTTGATATATAGTGTTGTTGTTATCCACGCTGACAAAAACCAGACCTTGCGTATCTGTTCTGTACTGATACTAAGAGAGCAGTCCTAGCTAAAGCCATCTGATTGCGGATCTCCCATTCGGAAGAACCTTATTGAATCTTCATTACCACCTATATGAGTTCCATTTTGTGGAGAACAAAAGAAGTAGTGCCCCTCCTAAAGAGAAGAATGGTTATATAGACTGCAACTAATTTTAGGGGTGTTTCCTTCCGAAGTCAGATAAAGGCAAGTAAAGTCTTTTCAGTTGCGTACAAAATTGTGAGTGTTATTTTAACTGATTCTACATTACCTAGATTTTCCTAGTGCTTTTAAAAGATTCCCATGTCCTAGCTATTTTATTTTTATACATCTCCATCTATTGCCCAATCTTTGAACAACGTTACCGTTTTTCCAGGTTTATGAATTCTCCTAAAATCTGAAATTTTGCCAGATAATACTTACATAGTCCTGCAGCTGACAATGGTGGTGGTGGTGGTGGTGTTGGGTTGGTGGGAGCTTGGAAGGCTGTGGATATTATGATATCATCAGCTCTTACTGCATATCCTTGTTCTCTTCCGTCATCTTTTTCATCTTCTTTCTCACTCACTCGATCCCACTGAAGAGAAATCCATGACTCCCTAGGATGACTCATCATCTGACACTCATGTGACAAACCTCTTCCTGCAAGTCTTGTTGTGACTGATGCTCCTTTCTTTGTCTGTCTTGAAATACTGCAAAACTAGTGAGATCATATCTGGAAAAAGCAAACAAATACGGCTCTAACCTTGTTATAAAGCATCCAAATACAATCAACATATACTGCTGGGAACTTTTATATGTACCCAAAATAACATCTGCCGATACTGCTTTAAATGTTTATAACTACGACCAAATATAATACACAATTACTCTGCTCTGACGGTTATACAGTAATCCAAATACAATCCCATAGTTATTGCTCTGAACTTTTTATACATTACCCCACATACAATCCACAAATACTGCCTGAACTTATATACAATAAGTCAAAAAAAAAAAAAGTTATAAAGATCCCTTTTTATACCTTTGGCGCATCCGGCAGAGTCTGGGTAATGTGGTCAGCATAACGCCGGCCATCTTTAACATTCCCCAGGACAGCCATCACTTATACCCATTCTTAGGGTGGGTGACCTGCCGATGCACCCATAGCAAAATGCTAAGACCATACCACATAGCCAGCCTGGAGTCCCTGTGGCGGAGCGGCTAGACGTCGCATGCGGATCAGAAGGTTAGGGGTTCGCTTTTGGAGTAGCCAGAATTTTTTTTGAAAAAAAAAAAAATGACCTTGGCCTCCCCGGTCGACCCCGCCTTGAGTGGGTAACCCGGTTGCAGATCCAGGGAAGTAGACGGCATTACGGCGTTGATCCGCTCGACCACATCACCCAATCTTAGTTCCGATTGGTCTATAAGAAAATTTAGTTCTAGCCCTAGATACCTAAATTGTGTGGAAAAGGGTCCTTTACGTTTTTTTTTTTTGTTTACATTAGCCCAGTGGGTTTTGATCACAGGGACCTTGGAATTACAAGTCGGGACTCGCATCGGCTTGAGCCACGGCAATGCCACCACTTTTATAAAATGACACAGATTAAAATCCACAATACTCCTGCTCGGAACCTTTATAAAGCAACCACATAATAATCAACAAATACTGCGCTACTAACCTTTTATAAAGCACCCAAAAAAAAAATAAATCTACAGATACTGCTTCTAAACCTTTATAAAGCACCCCAAATAAAATCACCAAATACTGCGCTAAATCTTTATAAATCTCACAAATAAAATCTACAACTATGCCGCGTGAAACCTTTATAAAGAATCCAAATTAAAAGCCACAAATACTTGCTCTAAACCTTTATAAAGCACCCAATAAAAATCTACAGATACTAACTCAAATCTTTATTAAAGCACCCAAATAAAATGCTACAGATATATGCTACCGAACCTTCTTCAGAACTGACCTTGGCTATCAGGTCACAACACCAGCATGAAATGGGTACCAGATTAAGTCCTGGAAGTAGACAAATAAATCAGAACTTTCTGCCGAGTTTACAGAAAATGAATGTGAAGAAGAAGAAAAGAAGAAGAAGAAAAGAAGAAGAAGTGAAGAAGAAGACGAGCAGAGAAGAAGAAGAAGAAGAAGAAGATAGAAGAAGAAGAAGAGAAGGAGAAGGAGAAGGAAAAGGAATAAGATTTTCCTAACAACACACAAAAAAGCCATAC